CTGGATAGAGATGGGGCATGGAGTATGTATAATATGTCAAAGGAAGTGAGAGGAAGAGAGGACAACTGGTGCTTCGGCTTTATTCTATATCTGATAGAATCGACTACCAGTCAGTCAAAGGTCAGCGGCATCCCGCGTTTCTTGCAGGCGAAATCTCCCACGATGACGAAAAACCCTAGCAAATCAAACAATCCCCGTGTCCCGTGAAAGCGGAGAGAAGAGAATCCTTTAAGAAAACAGACAGGACAGCATGGGACAGGACATGCAGCCACATGGGCCATAAGCTTTGGACGAGCGTGCTACGTTGTTGCAGCTGTCATGGTACGTATACGCATGCAAGTGGCACACACCCATTGGGAGCCTTGACGAGCACGCGGGGTTGTGTAGAGTCGGCACCTGTTTAGCTTTGAACAACGTGCCCTCTGCATGCGTAATCTCAGAAACGAACGAACGTTTTTACGAACAAGGGTAAGATGGGGAGGGCGTGAGATGTGGCGGCGTGTTATCAAGGTTACAGAGGCGTGACTATAGAAGGATCAAAACGGCGCCTCAGCCTTACAGTCAAGTCTCCTTCTTCTTTTTTTTTTTTGGCACTAAAAGAGTAAGTGAGATGAGCTACTGTAGTCTAAAAACGGGCTTGGATGCGAGTGATGCGCTTGTTTCAGGCCCGGGCTTCCTCCGCCGATGCCGCCGCACTCTCTCTCGCTTTGTCTCTAGTCTAGTCTCTGCGAGAAATCATAAGCGAGAAAAGTGCGGCTGCTTGTAGTCAATCGACGCTGTTGACCCACTGTAATAAGTAACCGAAATCCTTCTCAAACTGCCTGAGAATTCCAGTGCCATGTTTTCGCAGTTGAAGTGGATATCCTTCGGTTTCCGCCTTTTTTTGTCTGTCTCTCGCTTCAGCATGTCTTGGTGCTGTACCCGCTCACTTCTCATCTGGATAGTTTGACACTTGTTGAGTCCTTTTTGACTGGTTTAGTACAGTCATATTTGTCATGCTGACTGCAAAAGGGCCCTCCCCCCACTTGTCTCAAATAAAACATCTCCAAAGAAACGCCCCCATAGAACTCGCTCGCTCGCTAAATTTGTTGCTCCGTTCACAGCTGAACAAGGCCCGAAGCCGAAAGCTTATTCTGAGGACAAATCCTGCGTGTTCGCGGAGCAAACAAATATTCCGCGCATCGTGTCTAGTCTAGTTTAGTTAGTTACGCAGGCCCTTTTTTTGATGGTTGCCGCTTATAATGCACATAAGCAGCAAATGGATCATAAGGATAAACCTGGTAATGTCATAAGTCAAGGTGGAAACTCCCCTCGGTCGGACTGCCACTGAGACGAAACTCCGCTCTCCACCGCGCAGGTCAAGTCCACGTCTGTTAATGATCCGCGCGAACGAGTCGGATTTCCCCAGATCATGTCCGCATCTATCGCATCCCCCCGTAACCGCTGAGGTTCTTCAAAGGTTCTTCACAACGCGGCCGCCCTTAGGTTAATTCCAGCACCTGAGGCTTAATCTCCAGCCAGCAAGGATCACCGACAAATGACCTCACTGGACAAAGTTACGTGCATCTCCCACTAAAGTGTAGACAGACTAGACTCACGAGCCCGCGACTCGCCTAGATCCCTGCCCATCATAGCATGTAACCCTGTTGGGATACAGGGGATGGGGACTTGTACCGGGCGGCTGCGGCCCGTAAGTCGCTAGGCAATAGCCCACGGCGCACTAAACACTTGCCGGCCTAGCCGGAGCCCCTGGAGCTGCTTATGAGCGCCGCGTTCCTAACCTTTTGGGGTGACTGCACCAAGGGTCATCCGATGCGCTACTGCAGATAAACACAAACAGGGTAGATTCTTTTGCGTTGATGACAGGGAGAGACACCGATACTGAGTTTCTTTTGAATAATTATTACATATTGCCTGTTTCCGACCTATCTGTTTATCGCAGCGTTAAACGTGCATATTCGCAGTGTAGAATCAGTAGCATAAACAGAAAATAAGACATCAGATACAGTATTCTATTTCAGCTTGTTTCGCCAAGGCAATGTACTAACCTTGCCTTTTGATTTCATAGGGAAATCGCTGCTAAGCTGTTTATAGTCTTTCAGTTAATGTCTTCAAAGGACAGCTCGGTCAATTTCCGAAGAGCAACAGCATTGATACAGTGTAAATTACAAGGATTGAGAACAGGCACTGAAATCTATTGATATTATCATATGTTGTCTTAATGAACTTAATTCGATTTTCGTATAGGAGCAACCTAAGTAAGAATTTTAAGGTAACATATGCTTTTCATTTAACTAATTGCACCTATAGTATAACTTTGTATCTGTCTTAGAGTTTGGTGTCTACTGCTGTCCTAGTCTCCCTCGATGTCAACGTCTAAGTTCAAGTCTGCAAAACACTTATATCCTCGAAACCTCTATCAAATTGATACCCCGACCTCGACTTGTATCTCCATCGGGACACTGTAACTGCGCGGACACTCCATGGAAGAAGAGACGGAAGACTCACATTCAAAACCGAGCGTGCCGTGATGCCGTCTCGTCCTGGTTCCTCGACAGCAGGTGAATCACATTACCCAGACTTGCAGTCATGAACACGGGAATATGAAGACGGGCTTTTGACATAACAATTCTTAACCATCATAGCATCACCATAATTCCTATCCTCAAGTCAGGTGAGGTTGTTGTATGCTCAGTTCGTGAGACGTGATTGGCGCCTTCAGTCGACTGTATCTGTCAAACTAATGCACGAAAGTTATGCATTTCAGATATGTCGTGTACCCCAACATGCATTGGACTTGACTCATGCTCAAACTCTAACATTGCGACTGTTGTCTCTGCAGAGGAGGAAACCCGTTGGTCCGTGAACAGCCTCAATCAGAACTCAATCTGTACGGGAGTCTGTGCACTAGCGGGATACTAGTACGTGGCTTTCGTGGGTACGGTATGACGGCGTCAAGACACAAGTGCCGGCATATAGTTGTTCCAAGTGAGGCTTCTACCTACTCCGATGAGGCTTGACCCTCACCGCTAGAGGGCTCCTGCGGCAAGTTCTTGATTCCTTATTGGTTCTGATTAGTATGCCTGTCCTAGTCGTCGTGACTCCCGGGGAGTAGATCATCCGACTAAGATCTCCAAGCCTCGGCAGTCTTTGATCATGTTGAGTAATTACGACGCGGGATCGTCGGGATGAATGCAACTGAGCTAGTCCTTGTTACTTCGGCCTACACAGTTACCGAACCCCTATACCCTGTCGGGCCGACTCCGTCGTTGACAAAGCATCCAACAGATCTGATAATCAAGCAAATCAGAAGAAAATAATCTAAGTTAGAGACCTCCTTGGCATAAAGCATCTCGGGGATCATATGTGGAACTTGTGTTAAGCGAATTGAGCAAACAGATCATTTACAGGCATTTGTTTGCTATGTTTCAGTAACAATACACATGGCCCAGTTATTCAGAAGGCCTTCAGTATCCGCCGTTGACTCTCTTGTCCGGAGATCTTTCCTAAATAGTAGTTGGGACTAGACCAAGACCGAGACTGAGGGTTCTTTGTTGGACCCTGCAGATGCCAGAAACAGAACCTGAAGTTACACAGAGACGTGGCCAAAAGCTTGGCTTAAAGCAATGCAAATCCATCAGAGAAAGCTGTACCAAGAAATATATAGAAACTAAGTAGGCTTTGACCGACTAAATTGGGTCGTTGCTGGGATAGTATTAGCGCATAGTGACCTTTCTTATTGATTCTTTGTGCACAGAGGTTCATGTCAAAATCTGGGGAAGCACATCTCCATATGATCATAACAGCTTTTATTATTCTTGTGCCGGTGAACCCCAAAATGGTAAAGTCGAGGGCAAGACCGGCCCCATCTGGCTGATCAGAACTGGAAGGTCGTGATACTATCATTAGCACAAAACAATAGCGCTAATCATGCACGGTCGTCGTTTCGTCACCTGTTGTTCGATTTAGAGTTTCGGGACATGTAAAAGATTCTCCGGCGACTTAGTCATGTAGATACCACGGAGCATCCTCTTCTACTTGTCCGCATGACTCGCGATCACTCTCCTTTGTATCTGATAGATTGCCGAACGGGGCAGCTCCCCATGCAGCCGACAGCGTGGACTCACGATGTGAGCGCTCAGACGGCGATATGACTATTCCCAGCTGAAAGCTTAGCCTTCTGCTCTGCGTTGGTGGGGTTAAGTGTGAGCCTGGTCTCTGGAAAACCTGATTATTGTCACATTTAGATGTGATAACTGATTCAAGGCTACCCGGACATAGACTTGAAATATTATGAATCAAGGACTTACGATAGGCTCATGAACGAGTTGGAAGGCACGAGAAACATGCTGGCGACAATATTGATTGATTGATGCCTAAAGCTTATGACGCCTCCACATTCACTTTTGCATTTCCGAGTTGTTATCAGCACAGAGTCCATGTAACTCGTCATAGAACGAGCGAGACGATAGTAACGGCATAGGATTTCTACTGGGTTGAACTGAAATCACCACTTTTCATCGAAAAGGCCGCGCAAAGTGAGTCGCTGTGACTTACCCGACAAATTTATTGATGGATCTCTTTGACAGTTTGGGCAGGGAAGCTATAGAAGGATAATATTCGAAGTTCGAGGGTTGTTGAGTAAGATGTACAATGTTACACAGCAAAGTAGATGGACTAGAGATGCAAATTAAATACATTCGTCTATTTTCTGTAAGTGCACTTTTACATAAATATTCTTCTCGCGCCTCAGCATTATGAATATACGGTTGAAGGTTCATTATAGATGGCAAAGGACAAACAAATATAATTATTACTATAAATATAAAGATCTCTATCAATTGTATTTCTATCAGGTCTAAATAAAAGAACAGGTAACAACAACAACAACAACATGTCTTGAAATGTCTAAACTGGGATTACCTCCCTAATAACCCCCAAGTTACTCAATTTGACTACTTTTCACTCTTCTCATCATGGTTCCCCAAAAGCCTAGCTTATTAAACAGAGCGAGTGTAGCTCAGGGATCGACGATGGCCATGACTATGAGCAGCTGACACGTGGCTGTTGTGCGTTCTGGCCCTCCACATCTCCTCAGCCTCGTTCATAGCGTCATCTTCTGTGACAGTGACGTGAAGAGACCGCATCTTTTGGAGGACGTTGGCAGCCTCTGCAGCGTACTCGCACTTCATACGGATCTGGCGTCCGTATTTGTAGAATAGGAAGGGAAAGGGGACACAGGCTAGGGCGAGGAAAGCTGGGATGGAACTAGCCCACTGGACTCCGAGACCGTCGTACATTTGTCTTGTGAACAGAGGAAAGGCGGCACCAAAGAGTGATCGCAGTGCAGAATTGGCCGCCATGATGGACGCAGCAAAGATGACGTCTGTATTTGGTCAGCGAGACTCACAAGGTGCATGGAAAGAAACTTACAGGAGTCAATGAGATAGTTCAGGAGGGCCATGAAGACAAGTACGAGACCCCAGGCAAAGAACACGGTGCCAATAATGGGGACGATCCAATGGACACTAGGGAAGGTTGTCCAAGCGAACCAAAACAAACCGATTGGGATGAGAAGAGAACCCATGATGGCTGGGGGCAGCCTATCTTCAGGCTCCATCGGCGCACCTCTCCTCTGAGCAGCGCGAGCGTATCGCTTGTCTTCAAAAGCGAAGCTGATGATAGACAGAATAACGCCAATGACAATACCTGTGAAGGCAAGGCCGCCAATACCTTGGCTCCAACCTCGCCCCTGCTGAAACACGATGGGAAAAGCGGCAAAACACATATACATGGTGCCGTAGATGATGGAGATATAGATGGAGGTGATGAAGACGATAGGCTCCTTGAACAGCAGCAGCCAAGGTCTGGTCAAGGCGTTCTTGAGCTGGTGAACAGCCGAACTTGGTGGCTTGTCTGCATCGAGAGTAGAGATGTACACTTTACCCGTGAGCTTGGACATGTGCTGGGCGCGCTTGCGCAGAATGTACGGTGCGTATGTCTCTGGGATGAAGACGGTGCAGAGAATCCAGGTGACGCCAGTAAAGGCGGCCATGAGCCCGTGGAGCCAACGCCAACCGGCAGTCTCACCAAGGAAGCCACCTGCAATAGGACCTGTGCTTTGTTAGCTGCTTGTCGGATCAAGATAAAGGATGTGAACTTACCGATGGCGGGACCAAGGAAAGGGGCTCCCGAGAACATACACATAGCCAGGCCACGCTCCGACTTGTCAAACATATCCGCAATCAACGCCGGAGCATTCGAAAGAGGCGCAGAGCCAATAGACCCGGTCAAGAAACGCAAAACCAACAAAGAAGCAATGGAACCTGCTCCGGCTGCCCCAGCGCTAAACGCCGTCGCAACCATGAAGGTGAAGAAAAAGACCTTTTTGCGCCCGTAAAGCTCCGACAAGGGCGCCCAGATCAAAGGCCCGAACGTGAAGCCAAGCACATAGAGGGAGATTCCAAGCGTAGCGACTTCTTGAGAGATGTTAAACGCGCGGATGACTTGCTTGATACCGCCCGAAAATGCTGAACTAGCAAATGTAGTGGCGAGACATGCCAGAGATTGGAGAAGGACAAACGCCCATTTCTTCCATCGGGGGAGTAGCTGTGCATTTTGGGAATCGTCGGGGAGGAAGTTGATGCGATAGGGAGCCTGTGTTGTGCCTTCTCCTGGGTAGTTCTGATCGATGAAGGACTTGCTGATATGGTGCGCTTGGCTGTAGATTCGAGAGAGCCGAGGTGGTACTGTATGCTGATGCTCCTGTGTCTTTGGTTCGACGCTGGGTTCGTTGACATTGTTGTCATTGCCGATAGTGTCGTTGGCAATAGTCTCGGAGGACAGCGAGGGAGAACTGGGTTGAGGATCGATAGCCATTGCGAATGGGGGCTGTTTGTGATGTTTCTGACACAATCTCACAGACGTACGATTATGGCATCGTGACACCCATCTCTTAAAGGAGCGAATATTAACTTTTGCTTTTTCCATTGTTGGTTAGGGGGGCGACAGGTCCAGCGTGCAATATTCGAATTGTCCGCGGTGTTTGGAGCGGGATTATAACCACGCTTAGAAAGCAGACTCTAGGCCGGTTTATTTCCCGGCGTCCACTCGGCGTGCTCGGAACCGCACGTTATTCCTGTATGCGCCACTGTCGTAATCATAAGTGGATCACGGCATTATCACTTTCATACTAACTATATCACCGCCAAAAGCCCCGCGGCATTTCATCCTTCTTCAACATCAGGCAAGCCCCGCACCGCCTTTCATCTCGGCATCTTACACGACAACCAAGAAATATCCACCGCATTTATTTTCGTTTATCTGATTCCCAATGCCTCTACCGTCTCGGGCCTCGTCTACGCCCAAGATTAGCAAAGCCTGTGTGCCGTGTAGAACGCGCAAGATCAAGTGCAATGCTGCTGTTGTTGGGCTCCCATGCGGCAGCTGTGTTAGTAGAGAGTGTCCGGATGATTGTGTCTTGTCGGCACGGAAACGTCGGACTGTGTGAGTTTTGAGAATATCAATGAGTGAAGTTTTGTGCTGAGGCTTGGTTGCTGATGCGTGTTTTAGAAAAGGACGTAATGCCGAAACGCCCAGGTCGCGGAAAAATATACCAGATACGAATGGTTCCGTTTTGTCGGTTAGTCACTGTCTCATTGCCCCCCTCGTATCACCTCAGTGATGCATCCTCTGTAGTCCACTGCCATTTAGCCTGTGCCATGCTGATAGTTGTATACGTCCATAGCCACGACAACAACAGCTTCCAACAAATGTGTCGAGGCAGACAACAGATAGTTCTCATTCTGATCCTGTAGAAGAGTCTATCCATGCAAGTCACACTGGCAGCTCTTTACGCAACGACACTCCCCACTCGAGGGATCGTCGGCCGCCGGGGCAAACCCAGGCTGATCTGCTGTATCTCAATATTTTGCAAGACACAGTCAATGACACATCCGCAGCTCAGACCGATGCAAGTGATCATCAGTCAAATGATGAACCTGATGACAGCTTCAACAGTCAAATACATCATTGGAATCCACCGCCTCAGCTTGACGATGTCGACAACGAGTATCTTGCCAAGAAGAAAGTATTCGAGCTTCCTCCTCCCCGGTTCATGCAAGTCCATCGCACCACTGTCAGTGAGGTAAGCTAATGTTGTTACAGGGACGACATAGTCAAAGCATACTTCGACTATGTACACCCTTTCGCACCCATCCTCAATAGAACAGACTTTATCCAGAGTTATCGCTCGGGGGGCTGTTGTCTTTTCTTGCTTCATGCTGTAGCAGCAGCTGCAAGTCTGTATGTCACCCATGACGTCCTGATTGGCTGCGGCTATCCAGATCGCTCAACTGCACAGGCCTCTTTCTTCTCAAAGGCCAAGCTCTTCCATGACTTTCATTGCCAAGGAGATCCACTCTCCATGTTGCAAGGATCCATGATTCTTGGTGCCATCATCTTGGATCATCCGTCTGACCGGGACTTCCAGTACTGGTTTCACAACTCTGTCCGTCGTGCTTCGAAGATGGGCGTACAAAACGCGTGAGTTGCGGCTATTTCACCGTCTTCAAATAGTGACATTGCTTACACATTTCAGTTGCCTTCGTGACGATGGATCTCAAAAGTTGTACCGACGAATCTGGTGGGTTTTGCATGTGAGTTCTGGACCATGTCTATAGCTGAGGTGCATGACTGACGCGTTGTAGAACAGGGACATCTTCCACTTCTTTATCAACACACAGAATATGCGACTACTTGCCAATGCGCCTCCCATCAGACCCCTCACAGAGGCCGATTGGGAGACTGAAGAGATTGAGCAATGGTCTGGCATCCTATCGCCAATCTCTCAGGCCCAAAAGGTGTCACTGATAGCTCAATGCGAGTTAGCTCAGATCTGTGAGTTCAACCCTCTCTGGAACAAACAAATCATCTAATATTCATCTCAGTCGGGAATGTCATGTCTGTTGTGACAAGTTCAAATCCATCTGCAGAGGAGATTCACAAGAGAATACTGCCACTCGATGCGTGGCGAACCTCACTGGCCGAAAGGATGCAGCTTATGGCGTCTTTTTCAGATGGTGAGATCTATCATCTCGAGGCTTTGACCACCAGCCATCGGTTTGAGTGCATTATGTGTCGTTTGCTGCGCCGTGGACGATGGCAGATGAGTGATGGTGGATTGCGCGAGTGGGCGCAGCAACGCTTCAGATCGGCAATCTTTGAGCTTGACACGATCGTCAAACGAGTCATGATCAACAGCATGATTCAAAAGCTACCAACTACTTTGTGAGTACCCCCTCTGATACATATGTTCTTGAGCTTTCTGACCTTTTCTTTCTCAGCATAACCACCATCACTGCACTCTTGGCCCTACATATAGAGTCTGCTCTTGATGCTGCAGAGTCGAGTCTCATTCGCTCAATGGCTCGGATATCGGTCCAGCACACCATGCTTGCACTAGACCAAATTCGCGATACTCCTGCCATCAAGAGAGCTTTACCTGCATTTGAGATTGTCCTCTCCAAGAACAAGCTCTACCCAATGTCGACGAGCGACACTGAGCAAGTTAATACGATGCAGACCATCTCTCAAGACCAACCTTTAAGTGACGGGCACATCTTGCAATCGCCTCAAACTGAGATGACTTTGCCCCAGGACGACCAGTCATTCCTGTATGGGGATTTTATCGGGTTTGACTTTTTAGACCGTTGGCAAATGGAGCAATTAGATTTTACAGGCATTTACTAGTAGATGGTTCCAGAAGGTCGTTTTCTTGCTTAGATTTAGAGTCTTTCTTATACCTATTTGGCTACCCTATTACACTTAGACGTTAATAAATAAAACACCTTACCAGATCTGAGTGTAGCGCAAACCTTGAACGAGGCTTTACATAAGCAGCGTTCATAATTCGGCATAATTGATCTCCACTGATGAACCACAATTTGTCCATTTCATGCAACCCAATCACTCGCTAACCATCCAAAATCCGTCGCGAAACCGATAGCGAAACCAAACCATTCAGCAAAAGAACAGTCGACAAAGCTATCACAATGCCCCCCCGCTTGGGGTACAAAAAGTCTCGGAGGGGTTGCACGCGCTGTAAACAACGACGCGTCAAGGTGAGAACGGGTACTCAGCACGCACGCGTCAATGCCGTGACTAATTGCCCAGTCAGTGCGATGAGAAGCAGCCTTGCGCAGCGTGCGAGAGACACGGCTTATCATGCGTCTACCAGGAACCCTCGGAAGTACGGCGAGGGCGTTCAGCTGATAAAGTCTGTAGGTTGTATCAATGTGGATATAAACAGACCCTGACTTGATTGATGACACAGACCGAGGCCCTGAGAGATGATCGTCAGAAAAGCTCAAATGCCGACTCGTCAATCGCGAGCCCGGATCCATTGCCGTACCTACCCAAGTTCGTTACAGGCCAAGAGTCAATAGAGCAGAGTACTTGGCTCACGGATCTTGAGCTGATGCACCAGTATTCGACGTCTACTTACCTTACCCTTCCACGAGCAGATGAGCTTCGGCAGATATGGCAGATTGAGTTACCCAGGCTATCCCTCAGCCATTTTTACCTTCTCCACCAAGTCTTGTCTGTATCTGCATTCCACTTGGCCTCCCTGCATCCAGATCGATCAGACTACGCCATTTGCGCGTCACAACACCAAAATAAAGCCATCGCTGGTCTTCGTTCAGCTGTCGCGTGCATCACTGAAGAAAGCTGCGTGGAGATATTTCTATCATCTTCACTACTGGGCATTGGAGCATTTGCGGGTCTCGGTGCTCATAATGCCGGCCAACAGCCTCGCATCGACGATCTTCTCGATGTTTTTGTCCTTATTCGGGGCATGAACGACATCCTGAACAGGTACGAGCCACTACTCAAGGAAAGCAGAATTGCATATCTTTTCGTCCTAGGAAACCAGGCTGGTTCAACGCCTCTTCTTGATGCCACGCTCGCGCAGCTGCGGCAGATTGTCATACCCGACGGCTTTGAAGATGAGGCTTTATCAATATGTCAAGAATCAATAGCGTCGGCGATTACGTGGATTGAGAGACACACTGGCACAACGGCTGCGCCCGACGAGCGTATCGCAATGACTTGGTGTCTATCTGTGAGCCCGGAATTCTTGGACCTGATCAGGCAGCGGCACCCTGTTGCCCTTTGTGTCCTCGCGCATTATTGTGTTGTCTTGGACCGAGTTGGGAGGTCCCAATGGTTTATGAGGAATTGGGGCAAGCCAGTATTACAAGACATTCGGAATGAGATGGAACCACAATGGTCATCAATGCTGCAGTGGTGTTTAGCAGCTGTTGAATGTGAGAGAAACGTTCAAGCGCATTGATTCTAACGAGATATAGACCATATACATCTAAAAACAAAAGAAAAAGTAACTGGAATACAAAAGCCAAACGAATGCATGGATAATCAACAAAACTCCATCCAAGTACAACCCCGGTAACTCCTTCACATAATACTGTGACGCACCTCTATCTATGTGTCTCCGTGCCTCCTTCAATATCTTGACCCTATCACAGCCTCCGTGTCGCTTCTCAGTGGTGATAGGCAGTGTCATCTGAGCGGAGAGTGCTGAGAGATTCATCCGTATTCTTTGTCCTCGTACCGCGGGGAAAGCCATTCTTCTTGTAGAACCGCCAGTCCAAGTAGGTGACAACAGCAAGGTACTTGTATATCGGGCTGATTTGTTAGTCATGATCTGCTTGCTATAGATATTGAGAATGACATACCTTAGGATACCAGCCAATACAAAGACAACCCAACCCAGCGCGCAGCTCGTTCCGACACAGAGCTTAGAGTTACCCTGAATCATCATGAATGCAACCGCTGCCCAGAAGACAACCTCCATCGCGTTGAGGATGAAGTACGCCTTGAGGCTATGCCAGCGATGGAAGCGGATAAAGTGTTCGGTGAGGATCTCGTAGGTCAGGATGATGAGTGACTTGGCACCCTGAAAAGAGACATGTTAGATCTGAGAGATCGTGGGTCGGAAAATAAGCTTACCATGCCGAGACCCATGGTGGTGGAGCGACCTCGGGGCCGATTGGGCAAGATGAGTCGCACGCCCGAGAGGGTGATGACGGTAATGATCAAGGTGACTAAAAGAATCTGCAGGGGCATCTTGTTGCGGAGAGTAAAGAAAGGCTCCATCTTCTTGAGAAATACAGGCGTCATTGTGATAGAACTGGTAAGAACTGCGAGCAAAAAAAGGCGGTAGTGTGAATGCAATGGAATGAGGATGCTGAGGCTTGAGAATGATGCTGATAAAGCCAGACATTCATTGCTGGAAACACCAAACATTTATAAGATTGGCAATTGACTCAAAACACTATGAATCTACAAGTCTCAACTCTATTATTACGCGGCAGTTGCCGTGCATGCTCATACACGTATTCGAGAAACCTGCAAAGTGCAAAAGAGAAACCGAGCTCTGAGGCTTAGAGACATAGTGCTGCCCGGAAAACCAGCCCTACCGGCACTATTTTTAAACAAGGCCCAACCAAATAAGCTTGTTGGAAACTCAAGAATGTTGGCAAGGCTCATGGCTCAGTTTGAGTCCCTTTGATCGTCATTATGCAATGAAGCAGCTGCTGTTTGATTGGTTGAGGGGTTTCGGTGCCGCTCTCGGTTTCGGTTTCGGTACCGGACTGTGCCGTTGGTTTAGTGCCGTCTGCGGCATGATTTCAAATTGCATTATGGATCTGGGGTTGATCATTGCGCACGCTACGCGTGGCCGAGATGCGTATGGTTTCACTTTAATCTAAACTTAGCCTCGTAGGGCCTCAACTCATCTGTTAGTTGGATGATCGCTTTATAAGAAGCTCCGTCGAATCCGAACACATTAGCCTAATGGGTTAGGGTACTCGAGCCTGCATTGAGCTAGTTAAATATCTTGTCTCCTGCTCTTCCTAGTGGAATGCTGCCAAGTTTTGTCACTCGTCTCATGTTCATTTCCCCCATAATGGACTCGAAAGACCACCAACTGTACCATGTCCCGGCAGGGTAAGAAGCATCTTCGCCTTCTGAATGTCCTGACTAACATGAACAGTCCTCTACCACCACCAAGCTACTCAGAGGCAACGACAACAGATCCTCTCACAACAGATGGCTTTATGTCGCCTATGACAACAACATCCAGCCCCGTCGCCTTCAATGTCTCGGTGTCACCAATGGCCATGACACCTATAACCTCTCGATCGACCGAGTCATTCACATCACCGCCCCTTACTGAAGCGGATCTCAACTCTCGCAACCATAGCACACTCGAAGTAGCACACCCCCCTCGAGCCGACTCTGATTGCCTTCCACAAGCCGTCATTCACGATGCGCCCGAGCTTGCGCTCGTGGAATACGCCCATAATCGCGACAACCTTCCTATGATTAGTACAACACCACAAACAGATATCGAATATGCTTCTGGTTTGGAAGTCATACCTGCACCTCCGGGATCGAATACTGTGACACCTCTACACTTGCTTGGCGACGAGCCTGAAGCTATTGATTGTCCGTTTTGTCTACGGCGAAGCGAAACAATCGTCAAGAAGAAACCTTCCAGCACAACTCAGTACGTGAAAGACGTTCCCTTGAAAGAGCTTGAGCTAACAAACCACAGTCTTCAGGCTGTTGCGTTGTTGATGACAACAGTCTGTGGAGCAGTCGCTCCATATATGGCAAAGTGGTCATTCGACATTGAGCACATTTGCGACAACTGCCGAAATAGAGTCATGTACAAAGCAAAAGGGAAGGATATTAGGATTTGTAAAGCACCGGAAGCCTGGAAGGAGGAGTCAAAATACCCCAGTGTCAACACTAGCATGAGTCCAGTGACCCAGTGACGAAAATGCTGAGGATAACAAAATTCAAGTGACGGGCTGGACTCTGAACTGTGTACAACTTTGCACGCCTTATTAGCTTGCTTTCCATTGAGCTTCTCTTCCGTCACGATCTTTACCATACCTCTTTGACCACTGTAACTATATATTAATCCTTATATCAAAATCATGGCGCGAGGGCAGTGGTGTGAGTCGACCTGGGATTTATTCTTTCAATAGTCAATGTTTGAACTACATACACCCTCGAATCTCAACTTCAAAGTCGGTTGAATCGACATCGCCTGCAAGCCATAATATGGCACTGACGACACTCGTAAATGAACTGGGGAAGAACCTGGTAACATTCCTCACATTGCCGAGGGCCAGGACGCCCCTTCCACCTGTCGTGCGTGCACTCATGGTTCTCCATCAAATTGACCCTCTCCTGTTCAACACGGGCCTGCCTAACTCTAGCATTCATACGACCGGCATTGTCATCTCGGTCAACAATGTCATTGGCCCTTCTCATCAGCCGCTCTTCTTGCCATTGGGGGCAGCCGCAATTCTTCCAAGGCTCGCCACAAACGTAGCAGAATTCTGCTCTACAAATGCAGGCTGATTTGAAGGTCAATTGGGTATTAGAACGTTAGAACAGCTTGGCCACTTACTCATGTGATTACATCCAATTTCCAGCTCAACCACTCTATGGCAAGCATAGCACCGCTGCCAGCCATTCTCGGCCGCAAGCTCCAAGATTTGCTGTGAGGCAGTATCACTTGGGCAAACGCCACTATGGTGTGGCCCTTTACAGTGCACGCAAGTACGCCGACGGCATCTGGGGCACGTCGCCGTCTCGCCTGCGATAAATTGCGGCGGCACAAATGTCGAGCAAGACGGCTTGCTGCAATAAGTGCGATTCGGCGTGTCAAATTCCAACTTCTTTGCCTGGAACTGACCGACTAGTTCTGGCGAGAACCATCGACCTGGGGTGACAGGAATGTTCTGCCCGCAGCATCGTGGAGGGAATAGAGTCTCGTCTTGAAGTGAAGATCGAACCAGGCCAACGATACATTCTCGACAATATTCGTGGGAGCAGGGTGATCGAGAGAGCGCAAGAGGCGAGAACCGGTCGTTGCAGGCGATACATTCCTTCATTTGAGGTGCCTTACGAGATGCTGCCCAACCTGATGACTCAGGTTGGCCCGACGTGGCATCGTTAAGTCCTCCCAGATTCATTGATCTCAAGATATCGATCAAATCATCTTCCACTTCGTTCTCCAACTTGTGGGTGTTCTTTACACTTCGAGCTAATGATCTGGGGTTTGCATTTGGATTGTTTGAAAGGCTGACGGCATATTCATGGTCCCTCGCAGCCTGCTGCTCTGCCAACTGGGCTTCTCTAATGATCTGACCATCCGATTCAACAGCTCTTGCAATGCTAAGTGCCATCGCTTGGTCAGAAATCTGGGCTGCCATCGCCTGAAGCTCATGGCGGCAGGCTTCGAGAGCCAAATCCGAGTCCGAGACCTCACCCTCGCGCTGTTTTCCTTTTCTGGACTGCTCCCAGTTATTCAAGTCTTGTTGCTGGAGCTGGAGCGCCAGCATTAACGACGAAGTGTCCATGTTGATAGATGGTAGAACTTGTACTTGGTGATCAAGAGTCAGCGATATCCAAATATTGGAACTCTCTCAGCAGTGTTCGTAAGGAACAAAGGACGTAACCAGGCGGTACAGGAATCTGGTGGGCCTCCCTAGACTACCCCGCTTTTACAACTTCGAAGTCACTATAACACGCTTGAGCAAATTCTAACAATTAAATTTAATTACCTACACTTTATGGACCTTTTATCAAGTTACTCCTATAGATAATTGGCTACAATTATTGAGTTGCTTTTAGTTGCTTGCTTTTACTTGGGAAATATTTAATTGTATTAAATTGTGCTTTAGATTGGACTTTGAAAAACATTATTATTAATGATAAGATAGCATCAGATAAGGGCTATTAAGATAAGCCCGCTGTAGTCGAACCGAAAAGTCGATTTCTTAATACATATTTCTGCTTCAAGGCTATATTAATATAATAATATCTCAATCACCTCAAGATGCTGCTACTTGAATATTACTTAAGAAGCGTGGGTTGCTGAATCCTATTTGTTAATTGCTGACTTTATATAACAAACAATACTGACTTAAATAGGTATAGCATAACCAAGATGTTGCCACTTGATGGCTGCAAGAGTTGGTGGTCGGATTGTATCACGTTAGTCCATTGGCCTGCACAACCCGACCTCCCAGTTCTGGCTTGTCAGATCAAAGATATCAGTAACAGGCTCAACAATATTAAGACAGCTGGCTAAGTGCATACGCAGAAATCTTGACGAGAAACCTTCACTTCGACCTCGTAACACCATCAAGACGCTCATAGAAGATCCACTTGCCACTCCTGGGAGGTAAGTCCAAAATTATTGGTGACAGGCTTGATAACAGTCTTCTTGCAGCCTTTGTTCAGCTTGACCTTATTGAAACGGTCCTCAATCCAGGGAAAGAAGTCAGCCTGAGAAACTGAAAGAGCAAGGCCATGATCCGTCTTATGGTAAAGCCTATACTCAGCAGTTGACTCCGGATACTTCTTGCAAGTGGCATTGAAATCTTCTTCAGCATACTCAGCGTATGTCAGAATGTCATCATCTCCCTGGATAACAAGCATGGGTGCTGCGAGAGGGTGTTCTCCGGCGCCGTTGTAACGCTTCTGCCAGTCAACGAAGTCGGGATGCTCAACCCAGCTAGTGTTCTTATACAGCTGTTTCACGGTAAGACTGCCATAGATTGTACCTCCTGCGTTGATGCAACCCTGGTCTGCAAGGGCGATGCGGCTGAGGACAATGTCCGTGGCGTAGTCCTCGACCTTGATAGAGGAGTAGAGTCGTGAGATGGACTGGAGGAGGAAGATAGAGACAACATCGCCAGCTGGGCCATCTTTTGCCCGGCGGAAGGATTCCGGAATGAGCTTGATGGGTTGGAGAGCTGGGGCGATTGCGACAGCGCCGAGGAAACCACCAGTTGCCTTGCCCGGCTTGGCCTCTCGCTCATCAGTCCTCCATGCAGTCATACCACCCTCACTATGTCCAATGACAACCCATTCCTTGGTAATGCGCTTTCCAAGAGCCTTGCGTGCAGCCTGTAGTCCGAAGCTAACATCTGCAGCGTGAAGTGCGCCGGATTCATACATGAAGCCCTGGGGAATATCACTGCCTTGACCAGCATAGTCGGGGGCAATTACAACATAGCCTTGCTGTACAAGAGCAAATGGTCCAGTCCATTCATAGTACAGAGCCCGGTGATTTGACGGCGCACACTGACGCGTACCGCCAGCAGTTCCATGGGTCCAGACAAGTGTTCGGAAAGGCTTGTCATTGCCAAGAGGATTCGAGTAAGGCGTCAGGACAAACCCAGTGGCAGGAATGGGCTTGCCATCAATGTCCTCGGTGATATAGAAGAACCGAGACAGGGATACTCCGCCGGGAAGGGTCCACCTCTTGGAGGCTTGATCAGCGGGAACATTTTCCCATTTGACAAGATCACCAGCAGAGTAATCGGAAAGATTGGACGGGTTCATATAAAATTCATCCGTCGAAAGGTTTTGGTTGACCCAGCGGTTGGTTTCAACAGACAGAGCCTTGCGATATGCAAGTTGGCAGGCAACGTCGCAGTGGTTAGGCTGGAGGGGCTCTTGAGTGGCGGCAACAACGAGAGCGCCGGAAACAAGGATGTTTGTGATAAGCTTTGGCAACATGGTGACGATATGATTGTGAAAACTCAATCGAAAATGTAACTGTTGTTTGAGTTTGTGATAAAGTGATCTCCATCGCGAGTGGTTGCTCTTATTTATACTCTGGCAACTGTTTATTCCCATACAGGCTCTCCTCAGCGTAATTGCCGTTATCTATCCCCGCTGTTACCACCGATGCCACGCTTAGAGTTCAAGAAACTATGGGGTAGTGCTACTACATCAGGAAGTTGGAGGCCCTGGAAATATCACAGAAGCTTCCGACACGGTCCTTCGTATAAACTGCCCCCACGCCTGTTGATAGCATTGGTCGGCCTGGTTCATCCATGACTAAAGGGCTGTCCGGTTATGAACTCTAACGTACTCCCCGCCTTTTATCTGTGAGCCTCTTATGCTTAATCCTGGCCCGGCTTTGTGTAATATCCGAGGTTCCCCTCAGAGAGAGGAGATACACGAGGATTATCCTGGCCTCCTGCAGATCTCCCATGGGTCTTGGCGTTGTTTGCGCGGCAGAGCTAGACCATATTAAGCAGTTGTAGGCGCTCTCGCTTAGCGATAAGACCCAAAATGGGTTATCACTCACCTTCGCAACCCGACACAGCTCAGCTAACCTATATTCGTACATGAGAAGTTGCTCTCGTCCATAGTTATCTCAAGTCTACATTGGGGCATTGATTTACAAGAAAATATGGCGTGTCTCTCATGTGAGTCAAGCTCCCAATACATGACGCTTATCGTTTGCTCCTATTTTGTCTAAACAAGCTTGACGCCCTCTTTTGATTCCAGTAAGATTATTTATCTAATACTCCGTATCATAGTGGACAATGAAACTCAATCAGTAGACTATTAAATAAAGCCCGGTTGATTACCAAGCTTCATTCATTATTCGCTCAGCCAAGCCTACAGTGTAGTTTTCGCCCTTCATGTGCTGCAGCGACTTGCCAAAGTCATTGTTAACCCCAGTCATCCCACCTATCGTAATAGTTAGTTAGATGATGCACAGCCCATCCCACTTATCGCATACAAAGGGGCGAATACCAAATATGGCTGCCCATGTCAATACGGAAAGTAAAGTATTGGTAATTAAATCACATGGATTAATAAACGCCCGAACTCAGTGCACGGCTGCCGAATGTCATGGCTCTGTCAGATCCGACTTATCACTGCGATAGGTCCTCTCGTAAGTTTCTCCCAACTGATGAAGTGGCTTAGATATCTTCGTGATAACAAAGGTTAAGCTTTGGCAGATTTCAGTAGTTGTTTACATTGACATTAAGTCGGAATTCCAAGGCGAGTAGAGGGTTCATGTAGTCTAGAATCAGCCGCAGAGAACGAACTTCGTCCAGGCAAATGACATTCCTCAACAATAAGGACCAAAGGTAAAGCGTAGTGACACACAATTACACAAGACACCAATAACTATTAGAAAGTCACAATAACACTACTTATGAACACAGTTATCACTCAATCCACAGCCCGTCGAAAGCTGAGCCGTCTTTAGCTTAGACTTCTTCTTCGAGCCTCCAACACAAGGACAGCCCTTCTTATAAACCTTCTCACCCTTCTCATCAACCTCACCCTTTCCAGCTCCTTCATCAGCACAAATGCAAACAGTAGAAGCAAAGGCACCACCAACTGTGCTCGGACCTTGAGGCTGATACCACGGAGGACAGAAATCAGGAAGCGTAGGCATTGTCTTGACTCTACCGTAGTCATTGGTGCCAACCTTGTAGTCTGATTCTCCGAAGCCGTCGAAACGGATCTTCCATGTCATGGGGAAGGGAACGAACTCATCCCAGGTTGGGGTGAGATAGGTGTCAGTCTGTGGCCGCAGGATGCCATCGGTAACAATATCCTTTACCTCTCCAGGGCTTTCCAGCTTCTTGGCCTGTTGCTGAATCCAGCTAACCCGTCCAGGAGCCATGTAATTGGCATAGCCCTCAGGGGTAGAGTCAAGGTTAATCTTCTTAAGCTTGCCCTGCGCATCGTGACCACGACGAGGGTTCTTCATCTGAGCGACGAACTTGATCATTGAGGTTAGAGAGATCGTGGCAAAGCGTCGAGGTGCAAAGACGCCAAACTTGTCGGCGATGCTGAGCTGGGACATTAGGAGCTGTTGCTTCTCTGCGTTGCCCTTGACTCCCTCCTCCTCGCCGGCCTTGGCCTGTTGAACACAGTTAGTATGCAGTTTGGACGGATGTATGGTGGAATGAACTTACAAGATCCAGGATAACAGCCTGACCTTTCGTGATGGTAACTTTCTTTCCTTTGTTCACGCTGGCAGAAAAGGTGTACGTGCCGTCTTGGTTAGCCTTGCGAATAATGGGCTGTCGAACGGTGATGCGCGCCATTGTCTGGACCATCTTCTCAAGCTGCTCATCTGCGTTGGGCTTGTCACTGAAGACACACTTCTGGACTTGAATCCATTGTGGACCAAAGTCATTACGCAGGAGCATAAGATGCGGACGGCCATCAGCGGCCGCATAAAGGTCTCTCATGTACCCGTCCAGCGTAGCAGTGAACTGCTAGTGGTTAGCGTGTCTCATGTGACGATGATAATGCAGCTGGCATTAGAGTAACTTACCGAAACGACTGCATTGTAAGCAAAGTCAAGGCAAATGAGAAGAAGGATAGCAGCCGCTTTGCTCTGTTCCTTCTCATAACCCAAAACCTGCTTCGCGACAAAAACTCCAAGGTCATGCATAGCATTAGTCTCCTTCTTACCGAACAACGCCCTGGTGATGTCCCACTGCCCAGCCTCCCAGATAGTTCCTCTCTGGGTCAGTTCGATGAGCTTCTTCATGGAAGCCTTGAAAGCTTCACGACGCTGCAACCACTTGGTTTCGTCAGCGTTGTATGAGAGGAAGATCTGGCAGTTTGTGATGTGCTGATAAATCTCGTTCTCGCTGTACGTGTCCTTGGCCTCAGTGGGGGTCTTGAAGAGCTTGTTGCCAAAGCCGAGAAAATCAGCGACGTATCGAGTGACAACGGGAATGGCGAAGCTATGAATTGGTCAGCTGGGTCCGGGAGACAAAGGGTAGAGGGAAACTCACTCTCGAGTAGCATCGATCTGGAATGTCGAGTTGGTCATAGAGATCGACTCTCTCTTGACAATCGCTCTCATCTCTTGGTCAAGATACTTCTTCAAGTCTGCTTCCACATCCTTGACGTAATTGTCAATCGTGGATGTGTATTTGGGATCCTTCTTCCCCTCCACCGTCGTCAACACGTCTTTGACCACCTGAGGTAGGTTCTCCTTGTAGTAATACGCAGGGTTTGTAAAGTTCTTAGCCTTCTCGCCCTGCAAGATGATCTTGATGTCGTCGTACTTGCTGAGATACCACGGCTTCTCTGGTTTCTGCACCGGGGCACCAACGGCGACCTTTGGGTGATCAACCGTCTCCTTGAACCAATCACCATAGCCTTGAGCCTCGGCGTAGATGCCGTTCTGCTTGGCTGTGTAGAAAGGATGGAAGAAGCGGATGGTGTTGGAGGGGAACCAGCCTGGGAAAGCACGTTGAAGGAGGCGATGGAAGACCGAACTCTTGCAAACCTCGTTGTTGGGGGTGACTTCCTTCATGCCCCAAGAGGTCAAAGAGTTGGTGTTCCAATCAACAGTATAGAAGCGATCAGATCGGACAAGGGTGATGGCATCGGAGAAGATGGCAGACCAAAGAGCAGAGCTGGACTCACTGGGTCCTGGGTCCAGACCCATGTACTCGTCGGACTCGCAGAAGATACCAGGATAGAGCTCGATCTTGTCAGGATGCTCGTAAAGATCTCGGAGTGCATTCTGGATCTCAATGTTCTTTGTGACACTCTCGAAAGACTGGTGTCTGGGGAGGCCAAAGAAGTCTCTGAAGTCATTCAGAGTTCCGCACTCCCATCGACGAGCTTGAAGAATTCCCATGATCTCAACGGACTTGAGACACTTGGGAACGTTGCGAGGACCGAAGTTGGAGATGGGGTCATCCATAGCCGAGGTAAGCTCTTCAAGCATCTGTTTGTCATCAAAGAGGTTGGTAATGGCATTGCGAGTGAAGTGCTTGGACTTGGTGACCTTTTCTGGGCTGATACTGGAAGAAGCACCGTTCAAAGCGATTCCACTGTCCGAAGTGTTACCAGACGACCCAGCTCCATTTGCAGGTGCTGGCCCGTCCTCGGGGATGCCAAAGGTGACCTCCCATGGCTCAGGCTCCCTCTTGCCATACTTGTGGTCCTCAGCAGCCTTCTGCTTAACAGCAGCCATGGTACCCAGAAACTCAGGGAGGGACGTATTGCTTGGGTCCTTGAAGTGCAATACCTCTTTCATAAACTCCTCAGTGTATGCCTCATCCTTACGCGAGGTGGCACAGTGGAAACGGTAGAGAAGGTTGAACTCGACCGTGACTTGGTTGCCAATACCACGACTGGTCTTTTTCTGATCAAAGTCGGCGCGAGGATCAAGTGTGAAGTTGGTGTCGAACTGGTGGAAACCCATGAGCGCTCTCAAGTAGTCGTGGACTGAGATCTGGATGTACATGCCACAAGTGATGAGGCGAGCCGTGTTGAAGAGATCGTCGTCTTGCTTGTCCCAGGCTGCTTCCCAAGCTTCCTTGAACTCGTCGCATGCCGCTTCAAAGTCCTTGGCAGCTTGATGATCGTGGTCCTTGAGTTTCAAGGTCTTCTTCTTGAGCAGAAGCTTGAGATCGGTCGTCAGGTTTTCCAAGTCTTGGTTCAGTTGGGACTTGTTGAACTTCTCAATCTCCTCCAAGGCGTCTTGTCGCTTCTTCTCAGCCTCTTCTCGTTTCGTCTTCTCCTTTTCTGTCTCATGAGGCGTCTGCGGGGGAGCGTATGGTGCATCACCAGGCCTTGCTGCGCGAACCTGTCGCCAGAGAGACTCGTACTGCTTACACATCTCCTGAACCTTCTCATCCAAAGGAAGCTTCTGGCCATATTGGTCCTTCTCAGGGAGATGCTCGTTGATCAAAGAGACGAGCTTGGTCTTCTCGTACATGGCAGGAACTCTAAAGCGACCATTCTCGTTGATGCGGAGAAGTTGCCTTGCAGCATAGTTATGATATCGGTTATACATAACAAGCATAATGCAGACGCCAGGTGGCTGTCGAAGTAGACGGTCCTCAGCAAACGTATCGGGCTTCAAGAGACCAAGCTTGAACTTGTCATCTCGGACCTTGCGCTGCATCTCTGTAGTGTATCCATAAAGAGGCGACAAGTCGAGGTAAGAAGAGCTATCAGAGATATTCTTGTCGTTGTCGTTGGTTCTAAAGATGTCATGTATGATAATGGTTGCGTGGTAGATGAGCATGGCAGAGAGTCCAGACTGGCTCTCACGGCCACCTTCTTCTCGTGCCATGAGCTTGTCAAAGAGATCAGAAGGATCAGGGAGAGCTCCCAGAGGCGCTGTCTTTGACGGGACAGTCTTGGCGTATGGGGCACCAGCTTGGCCGAGATGGGGATTCATGGCACTGTTGAACTTGCCATCAGCAGTTCGATACTGGAAAGCATCGCCAAGGTATGTCAAGGGCGCTGAAGAAATTAGCATCAGTCATCAATCTCTCCTAATTTTGTGTAAACTTACGGTGCAGCATCTTGTCGTACTTGTCTTTGACTTGGCCATCGATCAGCTTCTGGCGTTGGACACTGTAGTCAGAAAGACTGCCAGCAATCGTCGCAAGACTCTGTCCCTACACATCGTTAGTACGCAGGCTTATGAGATACATGGCCAACTTGCATCAAGCCCAGTGCCTTTGATGATACCATCTGCCGTTCTCTTCAAGGCGGGCCAGTTGCTTGACTTGGAGAAGACGGATTTAACATCTTCCCATAAGCCAACCTTGGGAGCAATGGGGTTCTACAGACGTTAGCAAGTATGATGTAATGTCGGAAGTGATGCATACTCCAATGAGTTTGTCGCCGTGATACTTGGCATACTTCTCAGCTTCTTTCTTGTTTCTGAGTTGTAGCGTGAGCTGCATGAGATCCTCATCTTGCTTGCTCATCACAGGCTCATGGGAGTGCTGAGAGTGGCCATTCATGATGACGGTCAGGAGGGTTCTGCAGTCTCACAGAAGAATAACAACAAGAGATAAGATGAGGAGGAACATTCGATGAGAGTGACTTGTGAACACTCTCTGGAGGAAATGAAATGAAATTAGATAGTTTGGGGTGAGAGAATGTTGTCTGATGCTTTCTTTGAGCTGGTGCAGCCTGGGGCCTATTATCAGTCAATGTAGATTGGGCATCGCATCCGCATGGAGATTGTGAATGCACTGTGAAGACAAACTATCGATCAGACCCTGCCTCGCTTACTCCGCTCTATCAGAACCAATTCTCGGGCATTGTTATCCATATCTCGGCATCTGCAACGCCAAGAATACCCTCCTCGTTATGTTTCTGGCTAATCCTTGCCCAACTCTCGAGCTGACGAACCTTGCATGCCGCGTGGCTGACATTCGCGTACTGCTCATTCGTCATCGTGGCATTTCTTAGTCTGCCGCTATTGATTTCGTGCATTGGATACTCCAGCTATCACAAAAGTCCAGTCTTGGATACCAAAAAACAACTAAGCCAAATCACTCACGACAAAGTTCAGAGCTGAACTTGAACACGCAAACGAGCAGCGGTTATCACGGCTTTAACCCAATGTCGCATCGTTATCACATTCCCCGCTCAGCCACTTGCAAATTCATCCACTGAACTCTCCACACGGCCCGTTGCGGATGACTGGCCGCTAGCGGGTCTAAAATAGCGCCTTGTCCAGACTGGCAGAAGTGCTCAGGCCACCTTTGGAGCTGAAAACGCGTGCATCGTTAGCCGTTGGTCAGATAAGCATCATCACGTTCCACTTCCAGCGGTTCCAGGGCCGCTAAACGGCGTGTGGCATGAAAGCTTGTAGCTGTGATGTGCACAAATAAGCCAAGGATTATCCCGTAACCCGGTTATCAACCGGTCAGGTATCCGGCGCTTATCGTGAGACTGTCGTCCCCTGCCCCTGTCAGTACCGTGCGCCGGTGAGAGAAACCTAGCTGCATCAAGTTTACCCAACTGAGTGAATAAGTTGCCAGTTTCAGCAAGCCACAAGACGTAAGCAGTAATGCAGCTCTTGCATCTGATTCCTTTCCGTCCCCCAGGTACATCCGATGTCTCAAACTCTAGTTTTAGTAGTGTGGTTGATCTTGGGACTATTGGAAATGCTCAGCGCTCAACTGGCCGCCACGAATACTACGCTACAGGTCTAGACTTCTATGTAATCGACCTCGAAACCATTGGTCAATGATGGCAGGAGTCCGCCAGTGACCTTTTAGCTTCTTCTCGTCGTAGTATAACAGCTCATATTGATTCAAGGAGCGACAATCCCACGTCCTTCTGCTGTTGCGAAATCACCTCACTTGCTTTCACTTGTTCATTCCCCATCACTTCAAGCCCCTCAAAGTCCATGTCAGTCACCATTCTAATGCCTCCTACACCCTCAGTTGGAGAGTTTGCAGAGGCTCCTCCCAATGCCAGCAGAAGCCCATGCCCCGTCGTGAACGCTCTCGCAAACCATGGCTATCTTGAGCGCAGCGGCTGCTACATTTTCAAGGAAGATCTCAACGCCGCAATGAAACACGTCGGCATGAGTCCTCTCCTCGGCTCTGTCTTTGCCTATCCCACCTACTTTGAGTACCAAAACCCAGCCAAGGCATACATGAAAAAGCCTGTTGGCACATGGCAGAGGATTTGGAACCTCCTCAAGAACCCCTACTCCTTCTTTGACTATTTCGGCTGCTGGAATTCCAAGCAGATCACTGATGGAAAGAAGTATCTCAATCTTGTTGATCTTGCTTCTCACGGCGCTATCGAGCACGATATCTCACTTTCAAGACGAGACATTGCTCAGAAGCAAGGGAACAATGATCCACAACAAGACTTGATTGAAGAAATGTTGGACTATTCTTTCGATGGTGAGACTCTCACCACTGAAGACCTTGCCCGGTTCATCAAAGCCCGCATCTCGCGTCAACTGGAAGATAACCCAGAGTTGGTTTATGGGCCGGCTGAACACCAGGTCAACTGTGGCCAAATCGCACTGATGATGGGCTGTTTTGGAGACGGAAAGACGATTCCTGTCAAGTATGTCAGAGCTATCTTTGAGGATGAGAGACTGCCTATTGAGGAAGGCTGGAAGAGGCGATCGTGGTGGACAATGGGTCTTGTTGAGTTCTTTGGTGCTGTCAAGAAGCTGGTCAATGCTGTTGGAGTGGAGTTCTAGCTATCGCGTCATTAATCGTATTCTTTATTTTATTATTCTAGATAGTCTGATTCTACTTGTGCGTAACCAATGAGGTGAGAGCAGAACGATAAATTGAGTCGCGATGGTCTGCAGAAGGTCAAATAAGCTCAGGTGCAACCTTTCCTTTCTAAACATCGTGATTAATGGGGAAATGCCAGACAAGCTGTGTCGTTACCAGTGCCCCATCTCTCGAGAAAATCTCCTAAATGGCTTCGTATCTGCTCCACAATGATTAGCCGCTCGGAGGGCCTCAATTCCAGGGGTTTCCGATACGAGCCTTATCTTTCTTCGGGCAAAATGGACTTTTGGAGAGTTGCCATATTTTTGAAAGTCCATGAATGCTCAAAGTCTACAGCACAGCCAGCCACGGAAAGAGCACTAAGCCCAAGACGAGCAGAGCACGACTCACCGTGAGCTAGTGCTGAGGTAACTAACTATTGCAAAGGCTAATACAGGCCGGGGGCAGGCGCTAAAGCCAATATTGCAACCCTGAACGTTGTAGCCAAGAAAGTCCTGGGGAATGTGAACGTCTCAGTTCAAGTGAACATGATTGTGAGCGAATTGTGAGCCATCGTTTGTTATCCTTAGATGCAGCTGCGTTGTTATTTTCAGCTCTCTCTACTGTCATTTCAACAGTCACATTGAACCCTCAATCAGTCAGCGGCTCGCCCAGTGGCGCACCGCAAACTTCCAGACTGGAAGTTCCAGTATAACCTCAGCTGGAGTTCCATATGGAGTTAGGACCAAAAGAGCTGTGCACAACCAGGACCTTATATGTGTATTGTGATGCAATTACCGGTATGGCTTACAGTATGGCTCACAGTGCGATCACAGCTTGTCCAGTGGTTTCCATACATAGAGCCTAGTAATGTAAATGCTGGCTGTTCCTTCCATCTTGTTGAAGGCCAGCTTACTATAACAACGGCTTATTCTTTCAATTGCCAGTGAAAAGATCCAACACGGCCATCAGCCAATATTAGGTTCATTTCTTATTACTTTATATCACACATAGTCACAAAGCCTCTTTCTTGTAATCACTTCGTGAAAACATCCTCCAGCAAGCACATAAATATGTCTTCCCTTCATGCCTATCTCCCAGCCCTCAAGGGTATAGCCATCGCTGGCAGTCTCATCAACGGCGGTACCATGACCTCAGGTTACCGTCTTCTCCCCTCAGTCTACCCAATCGTCCAAAAGTCGCCCAAAGACGCTGCGAAGCAATGGGAATACTTTTATTGGTCCATGTCAGCCACTGTGCCATGGGTTGACCTAACAACAATCATTGTTATCGGCACTATTGCCTACGGAGAGTACAAGGAAAACAGCTCTGCTTTGTCTTGGAAGATCTGGGCTACTGCAGGAGGACTCATGCCCCTCAGTTGGATCTGGGTTCGAAAGGTGATGCTCGGTCCATCTTATAAGCTTTTGGACATTGCGGACTCAAAGTCTTCAGAGACTGAGCCTTTGAATTCCAGTGCGAAGAATGTCTTGGACCTCATGCAAGAGTTCAATGCGCAGATGGCTGTGAGGATGATGTTTCCATGGGTTGTTGGCGGGCTCGCTCTCTGGGCTACCCTGGGTCTGTAGACGATGTTTTGAAGATGTTGAATCGCGCGGGGCACGGTAATTATCTGTATGGCGGCAGTATGTTGGAGTGCGATGTCTGGAGCAGTAGCATCGTTGTATTGGAGAGATTGGTTTGCAAATCACCATAGCCTGTTTCATCTTTGAAAAAGGTGAGAAAATGGTTTAACTCGTTCTTTTTGCAAAATGCTGCGCTTGCTCGTCTGTTACAGCAGCGATGGGTAGTAAAGTCTTGATCTTTTTGGTTGGCACCTGTCTTGGACGAGTTATCTCGTCGATGATAGATAGGCTTTGTTTATAAGATAGCCTGCAGTGACGTGACAGGGTTGCAGATCGATATAGTGATACTTCTTGATCGTAACTGCATGAGGACACAAACTACACTCAGATCCAAAATTCTCAGCAGCATCGTCTTCCATGGCCCTGGAATTATCAACAGACCAGGATTATCCGCGGAGTCGGCACTTTCAGAGGCCGACGATCTAAAGCACATGCAGTTAGTGCTGTTTGTCCATTGCTCTGAGGCGAAAACTTTATATGATGATTAAGCGGGTAAAAGCCGGGATGCTGGTCGCTGACTGGCTGTTTGCCGGTGTAACATACTCCGGTGTTTTACTGTATTCAGTAAGACGACCAGACCGGAAGCAACCAAATGCCGACTCCGAAGAAATAAGATTAAATCAATACCGTCAGATCAGATTTACCCCAATGAACCTTGCACCATCAATCAATTCAATTCTGAGCCTCAAATCTGACGGTAAAATCAATAGACAGGAGTTAAAAGTACCAAGAAAAGTATCAGCCGCAATGTCGGAACCGCCGCCAAACAATGGCTTCGTCGGTCGCGTCCGCGGCGCGTCGCTATCCATCCTCAATGCCAATCCGCAGCTGGGCATGTGGCAAGCCACGGGCACAGCCATCGCACAAGCACCCAATCTCACTGAACTCCGCGACGCCGAATCTGGCGGCGACAAGATCGAATTCAATGCACAAGGTCACTCTGCGCGCTACGCTGTCCCCGAACCAGACGGTGAGCTCACACTGGTGAGGACGGCGACACTCACCCGCAGACCCAGTGCGATTCCAAAGTTTGACAAGGACCCCTTTACCGAAGAGCCCGTTGCAATTCCTGAGGAGGTAGACGTGGAGCAGGGGTCGTCGAGGGAGGAGACTATCACTGAGGCACCTGAAGAACACCATCACCATCATTTTCATCTGCACGAAAAGCGTCGACAGCGATTGGAGCGACGGCAAAGTCTGTATGAGAAACACAAGGCTGACGAGAAGGAGAAATGGGGGCCAACCATCATGAACGGCCTCAAGGCCTTTTGGAAATTCTTCCTCACACCATCTGGCTTCCTCATCACGCTCTACGGTCTCAATATTGTGGTAAGTTGCTCTCCTCCGGTTATTCCGAAAGTTCAGCTAGCTAACCGATACTCTCACAGGCATGGGGCGTAAGTAGATTGAAGACTCGATATCTATCTTTCTGTTGTACACTTCTAATCCTTCATCTCTAGGCAATGCTCTTCTTCCTCCTGCTCAATGTCGCGCCAGCCATGAACCATCCCAGCGCGAATGACAACAACTCAGCGCGAAAGAAATGGCTCGAGATAGACAGCCAAATCCTCAACGCCCTTTTCTGCGTCACGGGCTTCGGTCTTGCCCCGTGGCGCTTCCGCGACTGGTACCGCTACACCCGCGCAGTCTTTTGGAAGGATGTCCCTGCAATGCAGAAGCTCACAGAACAAAACAAAGCTTGGTTTCGACCTCCTGCCTGGGCCACGGAACAGAACACAAGCCCGAGTGACTCGTCTACAACTCTTCCTCGTTCAACAACGTTTACTGGCGAGAAGGCACCCCCGACACCGCTTTGGAAACTGGGATTCACTATCTATATGATGGTGCTGAATACATTCCTGCAAGCAGTTTTGTGCTATTTCATGTGGGGGTATAATCGCATTGATCGTCCCGTAAGTTCACGTCTTCCATTTCCCCAAGTAATTCGAGGTATGCATACTGACTTCATGCAAAAGAGCTGGGCTACTGGTACCTTCATCGGTCTCGGCTGCGGCACAGGCTTGTTGGCTGGTCTGATGTCGTGGTGGGAGGGCCGTAAGGTCAAGAAGATTGAGGGACCCGAAGTCAAAGTCGTCACTGTATGACGGGATCATAATGCGCAAAGTTGATTTAAAGCCTTATAGAATTTTAATTTATGTAGTACCTTTAAATTTAATGTAAATCTCTGAGCTGAGACTCCAAAGAGGGTAATTCGAACATCATACTACAGAAATGACACTTGCATTGCTGTGATGGTTTTTGCTTCCATTTAACCGTCATAAAATTATTAACGTCCGTGGTTACGTATATTACGTTTAGATGCGTAAACTTAAAATGTATAATAAAAAAGGCCTTTGTATAGTTATTTATTCGATTGATGTGTACTACGCAAGGTACAAAAGACGCCAGCAAGACAACTTAGTCGTGTTGGCTATGCCTCCATTTTTGTAAATTTAATGCTCCAGGTTAGGGGGAGGAAATTGCACGCGGATAGCCAAATACGAAATACGCGTATAGCATGGACCTCCGCGTATTGTCTGTCATACGAGCCAATGACGTTTCTGTGGGGCTTGGTGTCCCATCTAGAGGTATTAGGGGTTTCCAATATTAGAGTAGTACAAGATATAACGAACAGATTCTCAAGCAAGTAATATAAATCTCTGTATAATGGCAGTTGTCTTCATGTTAAGGAAAGTTAAAACATCAGCTTATAGCCCCTATTAAACAGAAACACAGTCAGGCTATTAGATACTCATAAAGCGGATGAGCGATTGGACCTAGAAGTCTCTGACTAACACTCGAGATATCTGTGGCTTGAGAGTCTCGAGAGACAGTAAGAAGAGTATAAATGCTGGCCACCAGGCGCCTTACTAGACCTTTCATTATACTCATAAGGCCGCGTAATTGGCGTAAAAACATCATTACTCACAATGAATTACCGCCAATCAGTTATACTGAGCTGTGTAGGGAGGGCACTAACACTTCCAAGCTCTCAGTTTATCATGTCGACCGACAAAACGCAACATGCCCCACCAAATCCGGAACCCATTAGCCTTTCAACACTTCCTCTTCCACCAGTTGCACCCAGGAACGAACTTGGAGCTTGCACGCCAGCTGTGAATCGAAATGGCACTGGATGCATGACTCTTGCTTCAAACCAGGACTTCCAAGCAGGTGGCTTTTTACCTGATGGAAAGCATGTTTTGGTCCTCGTCACCTTCACAGGCGCTCCATCGTCTCCGGACCCAGCTAGCGTTTACAATGGTAGCCAGATCATCGTCGTCAAGACCGACGGTAAGGTATTTCCCAGCGGAAGTCCATGGAAGTGTCTCACTTGTGGACTGGTTGAGAAAAACATAAGAGGTTTAAGCCCGACATATAGCTACCCCCAGGCATTTGGCGACGGAAAAAGAGTTCTGTTTGGCACCAACATACTCGATTGCGGGGAGCATAAACTGGTAGATGCGGCCTGTACACCCGAATGCACCCATGTTTATCCCATACGGCGGAATAAGAGCCCTGATGGGACCGGGGAGGGCGGTCCTATTCGGGAACTGCGTTTACACCCCGACGACGTCCATCTTGGATTCAATGCTTTCACAATCAACGGTCGAAAGCTCGGCCAGTACGCGTACCTCGGAAGATTGAAGTTCAACGCGAAGCCAACAGTCGGCGTACCGCTTGTCCCTCGTTACGATCTCGTCAAAGTCACCCGACTGTTCAACCCAGAAGCAGACCAACCTATTGCGACGCATGGTGGACACATGACCATAAACCGGAACGCCATAGCTGTAGGTGAGCTTCGTGGTTTCAGCAGCAGGGGAACTGAAGCTACGTACATCGGCTACCCGGCCGAATCCTCTAACATTGATGTATTCGCTGTTCACTTGCAAACCGGCAAGGTCCGGCGACTTACTAGCCACCCAGAATACTGCGATCCTCTTGCTATCTCACCTGACGATAATTGGATGGTGGTTTTGGATACACGGGGAACAGACCGTCAAATGTGGCTCTCTGGCATGAGACATATCCCGCCCATTACCGACCTCATTAGTACCTCAATTACATCCTCGACAAGAAACAACGGCCAGAGAAGATTCTTCCAGCCGTATCTATTGGATCGTTATGGTGATCGCGGGGAATACTTTGGCCAGAGGATCTATGGAGAAGGAAGAGGTGTTCCTGGTAGTGGCGACTATAATGACCCCGAATGGAATGCAATGGCTGACCCGAGATGGTCTCCAGGCTCTACTCAGATTGTGTACGGTGAAGCATTAACACTTTCTCCTGCGTGTGGTGGCACAAACCCGCTTCCATGTTATCCCTCTAATGAGCCGGGAGGTAGACGAGTACGTGTAATCGTGGCAAACCTGACTGCTCGGGAGCCCCTCAATCTACCTGCAGTCAATCTAATCTCAGAAGAGGTCCCATGGGGTGTAAAGTACTCTCCAGGAGACATTGATCCACAGCGTACCGAGCCGACACCTGGAAACTACACGCTGATGGGGCTCAGGTGTGGATATGCGAATGTTGAAATCGTTGGGGGAGAGGATGCATCTATCAGTGAGATCAATGTAGTCTATCATCACTTCTCAGATGATGGGTCAACGTTTCTATCAGGATCAGAAACAGTTCGCGCCACGTTCCCATCTCTGACGCTCAGTCATGTCGACTGGTATTCTGACCTGACTCAAATTGGAAGCTCAAAGAATAGCAAGAGGACAAGCCTGGATGGGTTTCACCTCACTATTGACGTTTTGAAGAACATATTCCAGGCAAACGGGACCATGAACACCTCAATTGATGGTCATCTCTATACACAGCCTGCAAACGGAACCTGAGAAAACGGGGGCAAGTAGCTTGTTGCAACCTATTAAGACAACTCGTTGCAATTTATCTATAAATACATACATCTGATTAACTCTCCAAGTTCTAGGTGTCTGATAACAGGGACGGGCTATGATATACCCGCTAAGGCTCCCCATAAGCGTTGAGGAAACTACACGCTGTGTAAGGGATACTCATCCACCGTATATCTAGGCTTTTCATCTCCTAGCTTGTTGATGACTTGGCTTGGGTGGAAGAGATTGAAGGCAATAGCCACAAAAGACATGAGCGTCGCATCGAAGATGTAAATCAAATACTCTTCAGCCTGCAGCGCTCCGTCTTTCCCAAGAACATATTCCGCGACGCGGAAAACAGACCGAACGAGGATAAACAGGCTCGAGGCGTAAAGGATGAAGATCAGCTTCTCCCAAGGAGCATTCAAGACAAGAGATCGAGATGTTGGACGTGACCGGATCCGCGTGTGAAAAACGACAGTGACAATCATAAAAAAGCCAAAGAAGAGGATCTGAATGAGCAATCCGCCAACGATCATATTCTCACCCATCTTGACATTGTCTTTGGACTTTGCTGAGGCAAGCATACCGCCACCTCCACTCTGTGCCAGGAAGGATAGTACGTCTCCGATGACGAAGACCTTGGTCAACCACTTCGTTCGAATGAGGGATAAGTGGCCGGCATCCAAAAGAACTATCAATCGCCCCAATATCATGTAAATTGAAGCGGCGAGGAGTGCAGGACCAAGGAGGAGCAATAACGATTGCATGATGTATGGGTTCTTGGTGTAGTCCGGAGCTTCGTTTGCAGAGAGTGCACGGCCGACGTAGCCAAATGCCTCGACTGTGGAAAATCAGCATTTTCTCATAGACATGAAAACATGCATACTTACAGAGGCAGCCGATAAGAAATGGGATAAAGTACCATGTTCGATGCCGGAACATCTGCCATAAGTGAACAAGAGCGGCCGTGATGAAAATGACAACAAATACGGCAGCTGCTGGCAAGGAGGGTTCATAATTGTAGAAAGTAAAACCTGCCATTGTATTGACTTAAAAGAGTGATGGAAATGAAAATGACTGCGGAGATTGATGAAGTCCAATGCAGTTAAGTGCGTTCTAGTCTGTAATGACAGGTAGTTGAATTAACAAAAGAGATAACACACTAATAGAAAAACAGAAATGTGAAGCATGTAATGAGAGAAGATCAGAAATTATTTGTCTATATTGCTGAAGTACTTATAGAAAGCATTAGGAGTCGTGTATTATAATACGCGGACATGGCCCCTGAATTCCCAGGGACGCGTACGTGACACGGCAAATTCCTACAGGAGGGCGATCAGACTGCAGATGTTAAGCTTATTTTAAACTCCCTTGAGTACCTTAGCCATTCGAATTTGCAGTGTACGTCCGCATCGGTTATTCAGGTGCGGATGCTGCGGAAGGCCCGTTTGCTATACACGTATAGCCAGTACCAGCAGGGATATCCGGACCCGTATAAGTGGGACAAGTTTCGCGTATCGCCATTGATAGCAAATACGCTGGAATGTCCTAATTATAGAATTTCTCTAGCAGTATAAATACTGCGGTGTTTGCTCTTAATTCCTTGCTTCCGTTGGGCATGAGCATTCTTCTTTTATACGCCCAGGATGCTGTCAATATCTACAGCAGCTCTTCCGACATACATCTCATACCTTTGGCTAGATGGAATGCACGTGTAACAGCCGAGTCTTTGGTCATGTTTTTTGGGGTTTCTTTTCAGCCTCTTTTCCAACTCAGTATCCCTTCTCAGTTGGAATTTTCGAAAATGCTAAAGCCCAAGCATGGAATGGGCCTTTGTTGGCATAACGGCTGCTCAGGCTATTATCATCATTTCTCTGCAAACGTAAGCCCACGAATTTCTTTTCTTTCTTTCTGGCACAAATCGACTCACAGTATCAGGGCCATTCTTGTGAAGTACCTTGATTGGGCGAACCTTGTTATGTATCAAGTCCCTGTTTCATATGTTACGCCTGTGGCCTCTGCAGTATCGATTATCAGTTTTGGGTTCCAAGCTGTTCTGTCTGTGGATTCGTGCCGCATTAAGGACAAAGTCCAACTATGGACTCAATGTATTCTCAACATTTGCTTCTCGATCTCCATTGGTATGGAATACTTACAGGTGAAAGGCGCCGCGGAAAGAGTCAGTCACGGGGAAGACATGTACAAAGCGCCTTTTGCAGACAATAGTATGTTGGGATGTTGCTGACACATTGTCAATCGCCTGCATTCCTGTATCATCGGCATGCAGTCTTTGTATGTGCGCATTGGCTTACAATATTTACATAGAGTTCGTATAAGGCGCGTGCTATAAGCATTAGTAGCGGTTTCTATTAACTTAAAATAATACTCTTATTAAATCAGTTTAGGTAATATACTAGCTACTTAATATAACTACCTAAGATAAGCTTTTTAGCCTATTTAATAATTATATTTAATATATAAAAAGAACTTAAATATATTTACTAAAGAATAAAAAGGCTATTTTAGTTACCTATTATAGCTCTTTAACTTAACATTAGAAATACTCCTTAAGATACAGGCTTATGCACTTATTATAAGAACAATTATAGGTAAAGGCTATTAGGTAACTAAACGCCATAACTATATTAATAACTTTATCATCAATACATAGAGTTCTCCTGGTCTTTATACAAGCATATCAGCCCGGACCTGAGGATGACAGCGAGACATATCAAGTACCTGGTATGTGACCAAGAGCCCTAGTAGGATGTTTACTAAACCTGATAGGCATACTTCATGTTTCTCAAAGTCTCTCTCTTACTGCTAAACCTGTTTCTCATCACGTATGGCCTCGTGGATGTCCACTACCAAGAGCCAGAGTTTGGACTGACTATGGCAATCATTCCCGTCTCAATTATCCACGCCATCCTTGCTAGTATATGTGTCAAAAAAGAAGACATGCTAGGCATAGCATTGGTGATAGTGTGTAATCCCCCAAAAAACAATATTGCTAGAACTAACGCCTGTCAAGATGTTTCATATAGCAGCGATAGTATACCTGATCACGCGACTGATAGTGCTAAATGGCGATGGCCTGCTAGCACGCACATTGATGAAGGAAGAGATGTTGCTTTTTGCCCCATTTGCCCTTTCTTTTAACATAGTATCTGTTGCTTTTGCTGTCTTGTGCGTGCTCAATTTCGGAAAGGGATTGAAGCCGCTACTACAAGGTCAGGGCACAAACAACATGCCTACTTCAACGAGCGCATTGGAGCTCAGCCCGCGGCACCTCAGCGTTCGGACTATGGACACTGAGCGGATGTCAAAGCGTTTTGACATGGATTAGATCTCTATTGTCTGATGTCTACGGTACACATTTCGTAATACTTATACCCCTTGCAAAATCTCCACTGCTTATCTAAAAATCCCCCTCAACCCATGTTGGAAGGTAGAGCGGTGATAGTAATAACGCTTTTGTTGTACAGAATATAAGCCCTGTTGCCTTAGGCCCCTAGTGTAGGGTCTTTACACTTTTGTAGGCCTTTTGGCACAGTGGTTTTGTTTAACAGCTTTCTTGACCATATCCGCTAGTACAGCCGAGGCAGCGGGTAACGTTCCCGCCACGCTACCCGATATCCGCAAAGAGTGTCCTAGTAATCACGGCGTTTACTCTTGGCTTGCTGCCCGCACCAATATCGCGCAAGTTTAATTATAATCTTAATTCGCATCCAGCCACCGTTTGCCCATTTATCGCTGACAGGAAGATTGAAAGCAGTATGCCTTAGGTAATCCAATACGAGAAAAAAAACTTGCTCTTAGTCTTGCCGCTCTTGTTCCGTGTATTTAAAGGACCTCGACTGCCTTGACTCTTAAAATACTAGCACACTTCAATCTCGATATATATGAAATCAGCACCAACATAAGTTCCCCAAATGAAGATACGGGGTTTCGGAGTGTTCGATAAAAGTTCGTCGCCGTAGTCGTACTGCCAAGTGATAGCAGTGAATCAGAGAGCTTGGCAGTACAACAAATCGCGGGGTCAAAATTATCGTATTCGATAATGATTCTCACTTACTAGTATGAAGAGGGAAGCTCAGTGTAACACCGGGACTTGGCTCGGAGGCATTTGAATATGTATAAAAGAAGGTGACTCAGGCTTCAAGAAACCTTGACTAGCAAGCAACGATGCATCCTCTTGTGTTCTCAATACTCCTTTCCGGAGCTGCAGCACTCTCTTATGCCGGGAATAAAGTGCCCTTTGAGGAAGACCCTCCCCAAATCGCTGCCAACTTTCCGGATGTAGACCAAAAGCTCTACTCTCCAGCCTTTATCAGTCCTGAGACTGTTGCTCCAGGTTTCGCCAATGGCACGTCAGCACCAAACTCCCAGCAGACACTGGAACAGTTCTTGTGGACGCTTGCATCGCGAAACGAGTGGATGACCTATCACAACCCTGTATTTACTTCTGAAGAGGGACGCTCGATTCCATATGTTGTGTTGTCTTCATCAAAATCGCTATTGCAGACATCGCCCGTGGGCAACACCACTAACAAAGTACGAGTCTGGCTGCAGGGCGGAGTACATGGGAACGAACCGGCTGGCGAAGAAGGACTCCTCGCACTTCTCGGTAAAATGGATGCTGAACCGGAATGGGCACTTGGACTTCTGGAAAAGCTCGATATTATTGTACTTCCACGATATATCCCCGATGGATCGGCTTATTTCCAGCGTCTTCTCGCGACAAGCTTTGACCCCAATAGAGACCATACCAAGATGGCTTCGCAACAGACCATGGAAATCAAGCAGTTGAACCTGAAATTCAATGCCCATGTTCATCTTGATTGCCATGAGTACGGAGCCAGAAGAGGGTTGACCTATGAGAACAAGACCTATATCCCGGTCCAGGACAACCAGTTCTCAGCATTCAAGAACCCAAATGTCCACGCTGATATTCGATCAATGGCAGAATCTCTCTTTGTCCCAGAAGTCTCATGTGCTCTGCGAAAGAAGAACCTTACTACGAATGGCTACGTTGTTGCATCGCAAGAAAACGACACCATCAAGCTTCAAGACTTTGTCACCGATACTCGTGGCGAAGTTACTGTTTTCCTCGGTCAAGGACTGGCCTTTCTTTCAGAGACGAGAGGAATTGGGATTGGAGATCGCAACTCTAAGCGCAGAACAACAGCTGGGTTAACTGCTGCTGAGACGGTCTTGCAGATTGCGGCTGATAATGCTCAGCTGGTATACGCAACTGTTGAAGAAGCGAGGAAGGACTTTATCGAAAATGATCACGAGATCATTGTAAGGGATCAGCCAAGATGGATGGAGACGACATTGCCATACCTCGATGCTGAAACTGGAAACATCACAGAGGTTCCTGTTTTGTTCGGCAACAACACTCCTCCCGCGAGTAACCTTACCCGCGCTCGTCCCGATGCTTACATCTTCAGCAGAGCTTGGGCCAACGCAGCCCTTCGCCTTCGAGCTGCTGGTGTTGTCGTGGACGAGCTTGCTGTCGACTTTGAAGGTGAGGTGGAAGCATACAACATTACATCTGCTACGCTGGAAGATACTAAGTATGAAGGCATTGCATTGACCACAGTGAATACGGAGTTGAGCAGAAAGATGATGAAGTTTCCTGCTGGGGCGTATTGGGTGGGCACAAAACAGCAGCATGCAGCCCAGGCCTTTGTCAGACTGGAACCTGAGAGTCCAGACGGGTTTGCCACGTTCAATGTTTTGCCGGTCAATTCAGGAGATGAGTACCAGGTCTATAGAATTTCCCTCAAGAGTCATTAGTGTAGGACAGTAGAGTAATAGTATGCACACATGTACGTATCAATTATTAATTCCGAGCATCTGCCTTATTTCCTTGGGAAAACTCAACATTAATCAATTTATCCTAGACTAAATTCCGGTCGTCGTCATGTGTTTCTGCGGATGTCTCCAGCAACCATCGAGATACGTAAACGCTACGACTGCTAGCAAAGTTACATTTGGGGATAGCCAGTAGGGTCTTGGATGGCTGATATCGGATAATGGTCTAGCGTGAAAATATTAACCGACGGATATTTAACATATGCCCTCTGACCCACCGACAAACACCAATGATGTTCTAATGAGCTGCAGATCTTGTTTGCAATAGGCCAACAAAGTGATAAAAAATCCCTCCAGGGCGTCTTAGTGCATTGAGAAATATTTGTAAAAATCCCCAGACTTCTTTCTACTCGGGGCTCAGACTAAATCGACTAATGCATATCATAAATCTAGTGGAATTGCCATAGCTGCAGACATCTCATTCTTGATCTCTTTTACTATCCCAATCTCATACGTCTCAAGCCATCTATCACATTTTTTACTCGAGGACATAGATTCATCAAACATCACAATAGAATGTCGCCGGCCTCTTCACCCCCAGCCCTTGTTATGGGCGGAGCAGGCTTCAGCTACCAACTGAATCCTGAGCCTGAATCTCTTCCTATCGTCGACATCCTCTTGCGCGCATTCGAACTTGGCGTGCGCACTATTGACACATCGCCATACTATGAGCCTTCTGAGCAACTCATGGGCGCTGCATTATCAGATCCCAGAATTCAGTCCAAATACCAACGTAGCGACTACGAATTAATGACCAAGGTTGGCCGCATCAAGGAAAATGAGTTCGATTACTCCCCGGACTGGATCCGGAAATCTGTTGCTCGGTCGTTGGAGCGGTTTGGGACTACGTATTTAGACGTGGTGTTTTGCCATGATGTTGAGTACGTATCCCTAGACGAAGCTGTCACAGCTGTCGGTGTACTGATGGAACTCCAACGAGCTGGAGTTATACTGCGGGTTGGAATCTCAGGCTATGATATTGATGTCCTGGCCGAAGTTGCTAGCCTTGCGCGGAAGAAATATGGACACCCTGTCGACGTTGTCCAAACCTGGGCACAGCTTACCCTTCAGAACACGCAAGCCGAGACTCGTGGTTTTGATCGGTTCCGCACCGCTGGTGTAAATTCAGTATTCTGCTCAAGCCCGCTGGCTGTTGGATTATTGAGAACAGGCGGGATCCCTGTTGGACTGACAGGCGATTGGCATCCAGCACCGCAAGGTCTTAGAGCTGCCTCAGCTGAAGCCGCAGAGTGGATGGACAAGCATGGAGATGGAGAAACTCTATGCTCGCTCGCGATGCAATATGCTATTGTGAAAGCGAAGCAGAACTGCACCCCCTCTTTCTCGGTATCAACTATATCAGGAATCAGCACTCTTTCAGACCTGGAGCAGAATGTTGTTGCAGTCAAGAGAGTACTCAAGACTGATGGAAACTCTGAGAGCTTGCTGGACTGGACCGAGCTAGAGTCTCAAGCAGTGGAGAGCATAATGTCGCTCGCTGAGCGTGTTCGTCTTATCATTGGGAAATGGTTAGACTACGACTTTTCTGAGAAGAAGCTCAAGATAGCGACGAGTGACTCCAACGAAGAGAACACCAGCGATTCCGATGCAGTAAATATCGAAACAGAAAAGACTAGGGAGTTGAAGCAATTCGCAGCGATCGGAGTGGTAGCGTAAGGGAGATTTGCAGACATAAGTTTATGTTAGACAGCGTCCGAAGAAGAAACAGGCAATGTTCTCCATGTACTCATTTTATCCTTTCCCTATTAGATCTTTTATATTTATTTCCTTTCGCGCCTTGGTCATTAGAGCAGCTATCGATATACAAATCCCATTCCCTTTCGCTTCCCTAAGGCTTATGAGGCTATGGCATTTGCTCGGCACGATGGCAGTGTGCTTAAATCTAAATGAGCTGTTTCAGCCATCCTCGTCATGATCTGCACCTTCCCAGCGCAATTATCACTCAAGATGCCACCGAGCTATAGTAAATATCTCAGCATTAAAGAACGCAGGCCTCGTTAGTTCGAAGCCGACGTGAGATAGTTTATACGTCGCCTATGTCCAGCTCCCAGCCTCAATGTCGACAAAATGATGACAAGCCTCAAGCTGGCTTTTTGAGCTTTTTGACTTACTGCCCTGCGATACTTGGCCCCATTAAAGATCGCCTCTGCTCATCTTGACTGCCAGTACGGTTCAACTGGTGAGGATATGCCAAGAGTCAAGACTAAGTCAGTGGGGGCTGTAGCGTAGCAGAAACCGTAAGAGGTAATAAGTTCAAATTGAAGGTCACAGTGGTGTTGAATTTATAGTACACTTGCATACATCGTAACCTCTATAACGCTCTGACTCTCGGTTGGTTAATGACCGCTTTTGCCTCCGCGCTTGTCCACCAACTCAACTCATCACCTGGATATGCAAATCTCGCCAGACTTTCTGGCTTCATCTCCACACTATATCCCGGCTCCAAGGGAGTGACATAATGTCCGTCAACCACCTGTGAAGGATGGTGAAAATGCTCATGCAAATGATCCACATATTCCAAAACACTCTTACGGCCACTGATGACAACGTAGTCAATAGTGCTCAAATGCTGAGTATACTCTGGTAGTCCTACACCGCCCGAATGAGGTACAATAGGGACGTTGAATTTGGCAGCGAGGAGTAGAATTGCCAGAACCTCGTTCACGCCGCCGACACGGCATGCATCAGGCTGGATGATGTCCACAGCGCCTGCTTGGAGGAGCTGTTTGAACATGACGCGGTTCTGACACATTTCTCCTGTTGCTACCGCAATGGCGCCGTGAGTTGTATTAGACAGACCTTGGCGGATAGCAGCGTGTCCGAGGATGTCGTCTGGAGATGTTGGCTCCTCGATGAACCATGGTTTGAACTCTGCGAGAGCGTTCATATGCGTGATAGCTTCAGTAACAGACCAGACCTATAGCGTAGAGTCAGTTAACAGATCTCGGATGGAGAGCTTGGCCGTACCTGGTTTGCATCGACCATGAGCACATTGCCCTTATCGTAGCCCAAAACGTCACGGGCAATCTTTAATCTCTGCCGATCTTCCTCGAGATCTGTACCAACCTTCAGCTTGAAGTACTTGAAGCCCTCTTGTACACTCTCCTGAAGAAGCTTCTTCATCTTCTCTTCACCATACCCCAACCAGCCAGCACTGGTAGTGTACGCAGGAACAGCATGGTTGTTCAGAGCTTCCTGGATCCTATCCGCTTTGCCCTTTTGTGCTGCTCTCAGAATTTCCAATGCATCATTAGGACTCAAGACATCAGAAATGTAGCGAAAGTCAATACATTGGACGACCTCTTCTGGCGTCATGTCCGCAACGACACGCCATACAGGCTTTCCCAGCGTCTTTGCCCATAGATCCCAGATTGCATTCACGAGGGCGCCGAGAGCTAAATGTATAACACCCTTTTCAGGGCCTACCCAGCGGAGCTGGGAATCTGATGTCAGGTAGCGCCATGTTTTACCCCAATTCTTTGTGAGCTCAGAAAGATTCTTGCCCTGAATCAGAGGTGCAAGGAGATCGACTGCGCCACACACGAGTTCGTTGCCGCGACCAATTGTGAAAGTCTGCGAATACCGCGTGAGATTCTGTTGAGTCCAGGTTTGGGGGTACAATACATACCATGCCATGGCCTGTGAGGTTGGGGTCGTTAGTGGTAAGGACGCAAAAAGCAGCCGAGTAGTCTGGTGAAAGGTTCATGCCATCTGAGCCAGCCTTGTCCAAGGATGTCTGACACCCTAGTTAGCGCTTTGTATACCCCCAATCTCTTCAAGTACCTACAGGAAACCGCACATCGTGTGAGGTAATAGTCTTAATGATAACCATGATCTCTTGTAGGTTAACAGATAAAATTATTTAAATTCGAGTAATTTGGACAGCTATGACATGCCTTTAAGACCTCAGAAATAGGCAGCTTTATATAATATAAAAATCCAATCTGCTAAGGCCATTGTGTTTCTGTTCCACCCCAGATCCTGTCTAAGAATTGCTAGCAAAATACAATCACAGTATCCCCAAACTAGCAATAAAAGTTGTGGCTTCATCATTTCCCAAAACAGATAAGTGACTCTTGCATAGCAGCAGATCTTAGGTCAAGCCTGACACCAAGCTAGCACTTTTTTGCCGACGGTTTAAATCTTCAATTGTGAACATTGTAGGGTAGCATAGGACTTCCCCAGAACAGTCTAGTCTATTCCCCCCTCACGCAGGCAATTTAATCATTGGCGCAGTCCACTACCGCCGGATAAATCATTCCGCGCCCCGGCGGAAAATTACCAAATATCCAAATTTCGCACGGATACTTTCGTTATCTCTTAATTATCCTGATAATAGCGGGCTTCCCCACGATTTCCCATCAGTGGATAAACATGGATCCTCATCAAAATGAACCGCGTCAGCAGGCCAAGAGGGATCCACCAAATGGGCGGAAGAGAACAAGACTTGCTTGCGATAGATGCAGCACTTTGAGAGTACGTTGTGATGGTCAGCAGCCATGGTAAGTGTCAGACGAGCAGATCGCCAATCACAAGCAAGAAACGCAAGAGCTCACGCTGAATACACTCTAGTCGTCGTTGTCAAGGTAAGCAAGCATTCATTATTCGCTGGAGACAAGGTTTTGCTGATCAATATATGCTTTAGAATACCAATCAACATGTCATTATACACGAAGTATCGGTAGGCGTGGCCGTAAGCCTAAGTCAGCAAACCGAGCACAGCAGCAGCAGGCACAGCAGGACCGAGAGCCTGACTCATCAGAAGCTGATTGCGATCTTGAGCAAAGCACACTGAATTCACAGCCCGAGCAGAGCGGAACATATGACGTACGGGAAAGCCCCGAGCTCCCCACAAATCCCCAGGACGCGGTATCATCACACTACTCGTCCAGCCACTCATCCCATCATGATGCTGTATCACTGGATATGCAAGCTGATTCCATCACGGCACCAAGTTTCGACCAGCTGTACAATGTAGCTGACATCCAGACTTCCTATCCTCTCCCTGATTTCGACCTCGCAGTCCATCATGGTGCCGACTCTCTCCACGAATCCCCTACACGCGAGCGAGCTTCGACCATTACCCAAGACTTGCCATCTCGTGCATGCCGTTACAAGTGTCTCGAGCCAATAATCCCTTTGCTACACGGCATAATCGACGCTAGGCTTGTCTGCGAACTGTTCGAGCTTTACTTTGTTGAGCCAGGGGGATCTTTGTTTAAATGTTCTTCCCCGTATGTTCTAGCTCATGTTATGCGCAAAGAGTCGCTGCTTCGAACAGACAACCCACGGACATGCACGCCAGCACTATTAGTTACCATGCTCTGGGTCAGCGCACAGACAGCCGAGAGTTCCTTGTTTCTGCTTCCAGGCCAGAAAGCGATTGTTTGCGAAGAGCTCAGAAAGCTGATGATGGGTCTAATTCAAGGGAGGGACCGTGATGTTTGGAACAGAACTACCAGTCAGTACCTCTTTATCCTTCTCGTAAACTCTGCCAACTCAAGATATTAGGCGGGCCCCTTGTGAGAGATCTTGAGTATGCTGCCACGGCCGGAGACCAAAACCGGCAAGAGTACCACGTTGGATCAACCTCTACCGTCTCTCCACCAGTACCTCTGGTTGACGATGTCCTCATGTTCATCCTCGTCACAATCGTCTCTTCGGGCGGCGACTTTAAGACAGATTGTCTTCGATGGTGGAACAAGGCACTACGGCTGTCTCACAATATGGGATTGAACAGAGAAGACACGCTTGAGAACAACTTCACCCAGTCAGAAACATCTCTGTGTACAAGCCAAACAACCTCGTGCGGTTGTAGGACCTGTGAAGCTTCCCGCACAGGGTTGACCATGTCAGAAATCCGGGAAGAGCGTCGGAGAGCGTTTTGGTTAATCTTTTGCCTCGATCGTCACCTGGCCCTATCGTTCAACGCACCACTCCGAATCCTTGACGATGAGTGCCAACTATATGCGCCGCTGTCAGATGAAGCTTGGGCCGCCTTGTCAACAGGACGAGACCCTCAAGACGCAGCATTGGATAGAAGCTCACACTCTACAACGTTCGGAGCTCCAACTCGTATATCGGGGACTGGCTTCTTTGAATATTTTCTCCCACTCATGACGATCCTTGGGGATGTTATTCAATTGCATAGACAAAAGTCCCATCCAAGATTTGGCAATATTCGAAGGCCTCAAGCTGATGGACATGAGGAAGAAGATGACCCAGCCACTGCAATGATCGAACAAGTCATGGCACAGTGTGCACAGAGCATAACTGACCTGGCTGGCTTGTACCAGGTCGATGCACTTGATGCCTCAGCAATACCAGCCAGTCAAGTTCGCACGCCGCAATGTGTGATATCGCCGCAACAGAGCCACGGGGACCCTCCCAGACCGTCAAATCACACCGGCCACGCCTCATCACATCGTCGACACGCGCAAGCTCAGCTTGTTACTGCATACAGCACATTCATACTACACGTCCTTCACGTGCTTCTACATGGGAAGTGGGATGCCGTCTCAATGCTGGATAATAAAGATGGCTGGATACCATCTGTAGGCTTCATGAAATGTGCATCTCATGCAATAGCTGCGTCTGACGCCATGTCGCGAATCTTGACCTGTGATCCTGAACTTTCTTTCATGCCATATCTCTTTGGCATTTATCTTTTGCATGGCAGCTTCATCCTGTTGCTTTTTGCAGATCGAATGCCCCAACTTGGCCTGAACGAATCTGTCGAAAAGGCTTGTGAGATTATTATACGAGCTCATGAGGTTTGCGTTGTGACTTTGAGCACGGAGTTCCAGGTATGATTCCCATGATGTCGTGTATCCAAGGGATCGATCCAATGCTAACCTCTATGCGTAGAAGCGGTTCCGAAAAGTGCTTAGATCGACTCTATACAGTGTGAGGAGTCCAGCGACATCTAACTTGGAGGAAAGTAAGGCTCGCCGGCGAGCGTTATCTTTGTACCGATGGAATGAAGGGGCAACTGGGTTGGCACTATAGTTCTTACTTATCGCTCAATATAACCGATTAATAAGTCCATCAGTAGACACTGGACCTTCTTTCATGATATGCACTACAGGGTTTGTTATTTGCGCTATTACAAATTCTCTAACTACTTAACATTCAAAGTCATAGGTGCTCCAACTCGTGAATTAGATAGGCTATTTGCAACTGGGACACTGGTGTCCTTTACATTTGTGCCCTGAGGGCTAAAGCCTCTTTTTACCTCCCACAACCTTATCACAAAGTAATTAATGGATAGAATCACCACACGGAACTTGGTGTAATGATTCACAAGTGCGATACTAATCGTGGACGTAGAGGGTCAGCACAACATGAAAAATCACCAGAGTAGACCATGAATAGACAATTAAGCAAGATATAGCCACTTGAGTTTATTGTGAGGCCCTAGGGGCAACCTCCAAGCGGCCTAAGATAACTAACTAGGAGACGATATCGCCAGAAGGTCGAATAGAACAGGCTCACTATACCAGAGACGCCAATTGTGCGGAAATAAGTATGGACATTCATCATGCCTTGACCTCCCCAACCACTGTCTCATGGCGTTGCTCGTCCTGGCTACCCTTCTCTCCCCATTCGGCGATGCTGGATGGTTCGGTTGCAGTGTTCTCAAAGGCATCAATTCCCTTCTTGTAGCTAGGCAGAACATTGACGCAGAATGGGAAACTCCAAGCAGCCACAAAGAATGCCAGAGGAACAACCATGGCCATTCCTGTACCGTGCCTGTCTGCAGCCACGCCAGTAAGAGGGGGAACACAAGCCCCACCAATGACACCTCCAATGATGAATCCGCTACCGCGCTTGGTGTGTCGGCCAAGTCCTCTCATGCCAAGAGCCACGATCGTTGGGAAACAGATGGACTCAAAGAACAGCACCACGTAGAGCATCGAGATTCCTGTATTGCCTTTCTCTGTAATCGCAGGGCAGAGGAAAATCACACACATGCTCAAGAAGGCGAGGAAGACGTGGCGAGGCTTGAAGTATTTCATGAGGAAGACGCCGAAGAAGCGACCGACAGCAAATGTAGCCTGTGCACCTGCAAAAAGCTTGGAGCCGGTGGAATCGCTGGTATTCTTTCTCGTTTCGGTGGCATAGTTGATGAACATGCTTGCAATACCCACCTGAGCTCCGCAGTAGCAGAACTGAGCAAAGGAGGCGTGAAAGAGTCGGTATTGCTTGCGAAGTGGCTTATCGTGAGTTTCGGAGTTAGAGGATTCGGCTTGCTGTGCCATATCTGTATGCGAGAAACATTGGTCAGAATTGAAGACTTCCAAGTTCATTAGGGGTATCGAAACGTACCAGCATCGGTGATCTCAGGAATGTTCGTGAAGAAAAACAAGGTGGCGAGCAGCAAGACGAACACAGCGATGGAAAGATACACCCACTGCACATTCGCCAATGCCTTTTCGTCGTCAAAGTTGAAAAAGACATAAGAGCCTAGAACAGGTGCAACGACCGAGCCAATGCCGTTGAAGGCTTGTGACAGGTTGATTCGCATTTCGGCATATTTAGGAGGACCGCAGACTATTTCGGGTTAGATATCAAGGCGGCGGGGGAGCCACTGCATAGGCTTACCAGTGATGTAAGGGTTGGCAGCTGTCTCAAGAGACCCAAGGCCGTTACCGATGATGAAAATTGCTGCACAGAAACCTCCAAAGGACTTTGCTTTGATACAGGGAATCGCGATCAGGGCGCCGACAGCATAGAGACTGAGTCCCCAGATGAAAACAGCCTTGTAAGAGTAGTGTCGTAGGATCCACGCGGCATGGCCAAGAGAAGCAAGCGGGTAGGCACTATCGGAGCATAATGGTTAGATATATCATGGCATAGGTTTGTGAATGAGACGAACCCAAAGTAGGCAGCTTGAAGTCCAGCAGATCTTGCCCTATCGATATGCAAAGTCACCTGGAAATGCTTGTTCAGAGTATCCAGGAGACCATAGCTGAAGCCCCAAAGGAAGAATAAGACTGTAACAAGTGCAATAGGCCAGATGGACTCCCGTAAGGTAAGGTCTGCAGCTTTGGTCACTCGATCGTCGGAGACTTTGAGTGACCTCTTCTTGAAAAAAGCTCGAACGCCCATTTTGACAATTGAGATCGTGATCGAAGTTCGAAGATTTCCTGTGAAGGCAGTAAGATTCAAACCAGGGAGCTGACTTTGCTTGCTGGCGGAGAGGAGCTGCAGTCTGGAGGAGCTTGAGTTATTTATATCCGCTTCACATGTAGATCTCGAGCCAAGCTACCCCATGGGGAACAGAGGAGCTTGGACGGCAAGCTGTGGTCTGGGGTAAGACTCCCGAGACTGGTAGTCAACCCGTCCAACTGGATTATTTCTTCTATGGTTCTTAGCGGGGGAGCAACCACCTACCCGACGGATAATTACACCTCGCGCTACCCCTCCCCCGCTCGTAACAACGATCATGCACTAGCTTTGCAGCCCTGTCACTTGACGACTGCGTATTAGGAAATCATCTGCTTTGGCTTCACGAGGAATGTCGTATAGCATGTGTTGAACGGAAGTTGGGGGAATTGGGGGCACCTGTGTTGACTATTGCTCTATTAGAAAGGCTAATCATTGTGTCACATCAAGCAGTTAGTAAGTCAAATGCTGTGGAGATAGCTACACCTAATTATCCTGTAAACTGTCGAGAGGAATGGGGGCCATATGCGCGAACCCTTTAAGCTACTTACAGGCATTGCCAATACTATAAGATGACATAGCCAGCTCCCCCTTTTCTTTGCTGTTATCTGGATACGAATTCCTCATTTCTTTAGACTGCCTTTTCTTTCCAAATAATCCACGACGACTAGAAACCCCGTCGCAATGTCTGACAGGCCTAGTCGTCGCTTTGCGCAAATCATCAAGCTCAAACCCCAACACGTTAAAGAATACAAACAAGTCCATGCAAGAGTATGGCCTGAGGTGCTTGCCCAGAACGAGAAGTGTAATATCCAAGACTGTACGATGCAGCCTTCTCCATCCTGTCCCTAAATCAAATTAACCGATAGTATTTCATAAAGCTAACAGTTTATTGTATTGCTGGCCGGCAGATAGTATCTTTTATGACGACGAGAGCCACTATCTTTTTGCCACATTTAAATATGTTGGTACTGACTTTGCGAGCGATATGAAAACAATGGCCGAAAATCCACGTGTGAAGGAGTGGTGGAAGATGACTGATGCCTTTCAGGAGAGTCTTGTTCCTGGCGCTGTAAGCTCTGAGTCTATTGAGCCATCCTGGTGGAAACCCATCGAGGAGGTATTTTATCAACCTTAGAAAAAGGCCTTAATTCAACCTATTTATAGTAAAAGTGCAAGAAGGAGTTGATATACATTGAGCATAATACTTAAAGAATCTAAATCTAGCTTCAGAGAATAGAGTTGGCATTACTAGACTATAAGTTGTATGCCTGCCTGGCAGTTCCAGAGAAAATCATACCCTGCTCTTCTGGGGTTAAGCCTGACTCTTGACATAACTGGACAGTCACATCATGCCAGCGCGACCACGCATTCGACATATTGATAGTACAGACTGGCCAATCACTGCCAAACATAATCCGCCTCGGTCCAAAAGAGTCCAGTATCACTCTGAACCATTTCTCCAGCACCTTGCAGATGTCGTTTGAGGAAAGACCGTCAATCGCGTCCCCCATCTCTGCAAAGCCACCAGAGAGCTTGATATAAGTGCGCTCCTCTTGGCCCAGCTCGTACATTGCAGCACGCCAGGTCATGAAAGAAACATCCGAGACAGGATCCGAAGCGCTCATATCAGGCTTGCAGATATGATCTAGGACTAGGACCACCTTCTCATTCTCAGGGACCTTGTCTCGCGTTAATCTTGCAAACGCGACAAGGTCTTGTATCTGCCGTTCGCCTCGCCGGTGCAAATCAATACACACGTCGAATGTAGAGCCACGGCGGCCAAGAAGCTTTGTATTCTCAATGAAGTTATCCTGGAGCATAGTTCCGTGTGGCTCATCTTGCAACAGATATCGGTACCCCTTTACCTTTGGCCAGGCCAATCCGGCAGCTTCTTCGACCCTGAGGAGGTACAGTCTCATAGCATCCGCGGTGCTGGGAAGGGGTGCCCAAAGCACGATTCCCAGGCATAGTTCTCGATCCTCGGTACTATGTCCTTCCCCAGGGCGCGGTTGTCCTAGGGCGATGCGCTTGATCCACGCTAGTTCAGTGAAAGGTCCTCTCCAGCCTGAGCCATCAAGTTCCCCGGATTTCAGATCATTCTTCCGGTCCGTTTCGACGAAGATAAATCCCGCCAAAGAGGGCTCCGGCGTTGTTGCCTCGCGGTATTCTTCGACAGAGTGTTGACCAGCGAGAGGGTGATCGCTTGCATACCAAGAAAGAGAATTGGTTTCAGAAGCTGGGAATAAATGGATGTGAGAATCGATGACTGGAATCATTATGATAGGTAGAGGGCGGCGGGATGTGGCCGCAATCACACGATTGGGAAATAATAGTAGCGAATAGGAGAGAACTTCTAGTATCCCGCGTGCTATGTTAAACACAAGGCTTCATTAACCATCCACAAGCCGCAGAACCCATGCCATATATGTTGCTTAGCAGTGTGCTAGCGGGAAGGTAAGAATGGCTAGCGCTGGCTCGTAACAGCGACCCACCCGCCCAGCATCCCATTAACAGCTATCCAGCTCAATTTCCCGTTGCATATTTGCTGCCCTAAAAATATCCGCGCGCCCTGATCTTACTACTCGTGGATCTGACCTAACGGAAGCCCCACTCTTTGAGTGGGCGGTAAAAACCTGGGACAGGGTTGAAAAGGTAGGATAGGAATTTTATAGGGAAATTACAGTAAAAAAAGAAGTAAACTTCTTTAACTTAAGATTTCTATATAACTTAGCTAGTTAAAATAGATAATATAAATACTATTATATAGCTTAGAAAAAGGGCTATTTAATAGTATTACTTTTATTAAAATATACTTTTTTTTT